GCGATATAACAGCAGAAATACTAAGACTCAGTCGGAGTGGTAGTGCAGCAGGAATTCAGAGATTAATAAGGTTTGATGATTAAATTAAAAAAAAATTATAGGTGAAAAAAGTGTAAGGTTCAAGAGAGTGAACCTTCACTGGGTTCGTAGGGACAGCTTGACAGCGAGGAGTCACCTATAAAACTTCTCTATATAAATTCCAAACTGACTCCGAGTAGGAGAGTCTCCTCAACATCAGCATCCACACCATAACACACACATAAGAGAGAAACAACAAGAGAACTAGAATGATATCTTACCTGACTCCGAGTAGGAGAGTCTCCTAAGGAGAAGAGCCTCTCTGGAGTCAGGGCGAATAAGATGACTACACTACTATCTAAACCCATACACCTCTGTACACATGTATCCTGTAAGGGCATACCCTTACACATACATTGATAATCTGAGTGGTTGAACATGAACGAGAAAAAGATAGGATTGATCAAATTAGACCACACAATGATAGTGTGAGTTGTGGAGCATGAAAAAGTTTTGATCAAAGGGGTCAATGTCATAATTTTTTAACTCAGACCGCACAGTGATGGGCAGGGAACAGCCAAACCAACTCGCAAAAACACCCCTCTTATAAAGCCTTCCAGGGTTGAAAGATTACCCGACTGAAACAGTAGTACCCACTTTGTGGCTTGGCTTTTTGGTCACTGCATGTTTTTGGTGGCTTGGGCTTTTGGCCACTGGATGCTTTTGGAACTCCCAGTTCGATTGCACCCCATTTACATACATATTTAACTCGTTTGGCGCAAAATAATTGAACTTCAATGGTTGTTCTGATACTGGGGGCTCGGGAGTTCGCTTTGCCCGGCTGTAGTGACTCGGGGCTCCGGTGCTTAGTCTCTCGTAGTCTCTTGTCTCCCGTGAAGACTGATACGCCTACGCTCCCGGGGATGTGGCAAGACTTTTTGTTGATGAGTGTATTGAATTACACTGCGTTGTCACAGGTTGTCACGCGTTACTTGCCAGCGGGCCGCGGGCGTCCGAGCATGTTCACGGTCCTTCGAATGCTCTCACGTGATCAGAGTTGTTGATTAAATGCTCTTGAGAGACTTGATCACTCCAGAGTCCAACTACCGCTATCACTATCAGCTTATCACTATCAAGATGTCCTCAACACCTAATCCACCTTCACCACCAACTCAATCAACAACAAATCAAATTAACTCAACTCACCTTTTACTTCATCATCATCCATCTATCAATTTCAACACTGATGCTACTCCCATCCCTTCTTTTCCCCGAATGGCTTCAATTCAAAGTTTAAAATCACATCAAAGACAATCTGAAGCTTTCTTTCTAAATCATATCGCTTCAGGTGCAACTCCAGGTTCATTCAGTCCATCAAAACAACAACAACAACAACAACAACAACCTATCACCACTTCTACTTCTGATATCTTCGCGGCACCTAAACACACTCCTGGACCTACCACACTAAGACTTATTGAAACATCAACACGAGATTCATCATATCCTAGTTTACCTTATCCTGATCCTGATATCAGTCTCAACATGACGGCAACTAAAGCTCCCTTTGTGTTACCTTTATCAACTCAATCTAATAGAATAATCTCAGCATTACCAGCTAGAGCTACGCCTGCAAGTGGCTCAGCTCAGTCAATTTTTACAAAACCGCCCATCGAAAATGCTGAACAGCTCAGTTGTCCTGAAAATCATAATTATATCGATTCTTCTATTCCTAATTCTGCGTCTCTTGTACCTCAACTACCTCCTTCATCTACCACCTCAACTATGAACGAAAGTATGGATAAGGAAAATCAACCGATAGCTCGTCCGATAGAAGTAGAAGAAACTTCATTACCAAAACCGAAACCAGAACAACCTTCATTACAAAAACCTAAACCAAGTCAATCTTCATTACAAAAACATTACGCCTCACCAGCAGCTGCAATATCTGCAACAGTCTTACAACCACTTGTTATTGAACCACCTAGTGTTGAAGAAAATGGAACAAGCACAATGGAACAAATGTGGGCAGAAGTGCAAACTCGAGCCAAAGCAGCACCTGGGATTGGAAAAACGTTATTACCTGATTTAAATCAGATTGAAGTGAAACCAGTAGATGATAATCAAGATCGCTTTCAAGAAACTCATTTGAAAACATTCTCAAAGGTATATATCCAACATGTTAACTCACGCGTATTCATCCTGAGATTATCAAGAAACTAACACTTGTTTGTTTTCCTCTAGTTTGATAGTATTACAAATCATTATGCAGCAAAACGTAAGGTGACTACTACCGACGCTCAACCAGTCGCATCTACCTCACAAAAACCGACCACAACAATCCCAGAGACAAATAAAAGACAAAAGACAAATACACTTGGATATGCTAAACGATTAGAGAATGAGAAAGAAGAAAAAGAAGCTTCGAAACGGAGGCTTGAACTTGCTAAAGCTAGAAGAAAAAGTCAAGCTGCTAATGTTGCTGGTACGAAAGGTAAGTTGACGCGTTATTTTTTCCAATTTTTCTCGCTAAAGACTGATCTTTTCTTTATTGGATCAATGGTCGCTTTGTGTTTCTGATCGGTTGACAGGCAAATTACCACCGAGTGGATTTAGTAGCTTTGGTAACCGCTTGAAGACCGCAACAAAATCAGTTTACAAAACAGTAACAGGCGTCTTAACTAATACCATCAACACTTCATCTCCCTCAAAGACCAAAGTTCAAGAATCATCCAAGGGTAGTAGACAAACCGGAGTAGGATTTGGTGTTCCATCAGGTTTAGGTATTGGACCAGCCAATCCACCCAAGAAAGTTATACCACAAAGATCAATCAGTGTGAACAATAAGAATCGATTACCACCTGCTGGTCCTACTTCAGTTAGTAACACTCTTAGATCTCGCCAACAATCAAGAAGTGTTAGCAATTCGGCTACTATCGGAAGTAAACGGATTGTTTCGGGTGCCTCTACGGCTACTGAACCGGGTACTCTGAATAGAAAAGGCAACCTTGGATCTCTCTCCACTCGACCTCTTCGAACTCGTACTATTTCTACTACTGCCAAAGGAGTCGAGTCGAATGCTACTACTAAACCATCGGCAACTGCCAAGCCTCTTATTACCAAACCTGCTACAGTTGGTACTCGTGGTGGTATCAAGGCGCCGATTACCAAACTGGTTCCTACCTTACCTAATGCCCCACCTAAACTGAGTTCACCAGTCAAACGAACAAATCCATCGACTGCTCAGGTATATTGACTCTTCAACTCATCTCAATTTCATGATAGTAATACATCAAAGTCGATATCTAACATCAAAACTTTTATTTTCCCTTTTTAGCAGGTGACTCGAACTGCAATTAAACCTACAGTACCACAACCATGGAAACCACATACAGTCAAAACCGTCACCCCAAGACCCATCAGATCTAGACCATTGACAACAACGACGACTACCAAACCAAGTGCGATCCCACAACCAAAGTATAAATCTAGTACTAGAGCTGGACCTAGTAATTTAAGGAATCCTATTGGAGTTGGGAAAACTGTGATCAGATCTTCAGTTACTTTACCTGTACCTTGTAAATCTAAAAGGTTACTTAGAAATAATGATGTAGTGAAACAGGAAGAGAAAAAAGTGGTCGTTGGAGGGAAACGTGGGTTAGATGAAGCACAAGAAGAAGAAGAAGAAGAAGAAGAAGAAGTTGAGAAACCTCCGTCTCAGAAGAAAATTAAAGTGACTTGAATTGATTGTTAAGGGAATTATTCTTAGGGTTTGGATTTGTTGATGGTCGAATTTTATTTCAATTTGCTTATTTCAAAGGTGGATTCTTTTTTGATAGAAATGTGATATGTAGGTATGTAATATAAGTTCTTTGTTAATAAACTAATTGTGTTTTTTTCATGGTCATTTTTTTGGTCTTTGTATGCTTTGATTAATTGTCCTAAGAAAGTTTCCATTTTATTTATTTTGCATGGTTTGAGATTGATATTGATTAAAGATCATTATGGGTATTTTTTGTGAGGGAGTTGGATTGAATTGTATGAATGATGATCTGATATATATATATATGCTTACTGTTTTTCTATATATACACGATATATTATCTCTTTTATTTTCTTCATCGAATTGTCTTTATCTTGCAGAATTAAGGGGGGTTTATACACGATTAGGTTTTGTGGAAGTTGAATGGATTGAATTTTTGACTATTGTGGCGCTGATAAAAGGCACCCAGACAGGCATTCACTACATCAATGATGCATCTATGAATGACAATTTTCTCGATTGTTCTAGGACTCTGTACCCTACAATTTATGGGGCTCAAACAAATTTCATTTCGTGCTATTCAAATGAAACTCAACTTTTCCAAAGCATGATCCATCTTGGCCGCAGGACTCGAATTATGTAAGTAGGAGCAGAATAGGTATCGAGCTCTATGAAGACTGTAGTAAAGGTTCCAACCATGGAGACTTCCCTGCTGTGGATGATGTACACTTTGACTTTTTACAGTGAATAGGGGGTTTCAAGCTCAAGGCTTACGACAACTTGCCCGTTGTTGTAAAATATGTGCGAGGCGCGCGGACGTGGCCGCGCAGAGAGGGCTTGTTCAAGCCAATAAAATATGCGTAATTTCGAACACCTTTTTGGGTGTCCCGAGTTAAAAATAATTTGGTTTCACGTAGATTTTTTGTATTCACAACTTGTCCCAAGTTCTAAAAAAATCCCAAAAAAAACCAAACTTGAAACCCCTCAATGTAACGTGCCAAATGTTCCTGGTGTGCTTACAATGCTGTCCTCATTGTGATACACCGCCGGATTTGTTCGGCTTCCATGCTTTTCTCCAAACTCAGACTAGCATCCCAGCGATTCGGGCACTAGTTTTAATCAGAGCGAGTGACTTTTCACCCAGCACTATATAGTTGATTCTCAAACGCTTCCCGAGATTTCCCTACGACCGCCATTTTTTTCCCTTGCCACGATTATTATGACACAGAAGGCATGGAGGATCTCATCGTGCACACTACTCATTGCGGCTTTTTGGAGTTGTCACTTTGTAAGACCATCAGCAATATCGGTGACTGATTCTAACACTCCCCGGCTATTGAGAAGAAACTTGGGTTCACGTGAGGAGGAAGCCGCTTCAATCATTAAGATTCCAGAACTAGAAATAGTCGTCGAAAACCCTGGCTTTCAACCTCCTCGCACTGTTTATGACAACGCCATCAAGAGCAAACTTACACATCTTGACAGGCCAAAGTTCGAGTACCAACTAATCCAACGTCCACCAACGCACCGCCACCCTAGCACAGAGTGGTGGTCTTTTTGGCAGTTCTTCACAGGCCAGACGTTCCAATCAGTCGTGCAAGAATTACGCGATTACTGGTTCACCGCGTGGAGCTCTCCTCTTCACCGCTTCGCCAAAGACCTCGTCTCGTCTGCACCCAAAATCAATCGTCATTACTTCAGGTCTAATCCTGCAGAGTTGTTATTGTTGGCTCAGGAAGACCACTATGACACATTTAACCGCCAAGTTGGAACCACGCTGAGTGACGCACAAAGGGACCTCAGTAGTTCGTTCAATGCGTAGTGACGCTTTCCTTGCTTAAGTTTTATGGCGTCACTGACAATATCTTTTGGAACTCCTGTCTCTGCTTCTTGCATCATTACATAGGAGAGCGAACCGTGGAATTGATTCCTAGATTTCTGAACATCTTAGTTCATGGGGAAAAATACTTCAAAAAGCCAAGAGCTCAAAGTATCAATGAGGATTTTTACCGAGAGCTTTCCGGCACAGTTCTTGAGGTGAAGAATAGACTCCCCAGAGAGGAAGGAAGCAATTCGCCTTCAGAAGGGTACGCCAAGGCTATACATCAAGTGCTTTACCGAATGCTGGAAGGACTTGAAGGCCTACCAGAGTTAAGCCAAAAGGATTATTATTGGCACCTGGCAAAGCTTCAAGACGTAACCACACAAGAGTTGCTAGACGTCCTTGACCCCCAAAAGGTGCCCTCAGGTAAAACACAAGAAGAGTATCATATTATCATAGCCGCGCTTGACCAAGCCTTGGGAAAATTCAATTTGCAGGTGCAGGGACAGTCACCGCGTAGATATACCTTTCCATTCATCTCAGATACTACTCTCTGATAACTGTATCCAAACGTCCCACAACTGATGCGGGGTCTTTTTTCTTTTTCTGATTTACCCTGACCGTCTATAGCGTTCTTTGTTCGACTTGACAACTTCAAACTTTCTACTCATGGTCAGTTGAAAGATTCATTTTGCATATCACACTGATCGCGTATGAACTGATGGCCTAGAGACTAAACACAGGAAATTTAAATCGAGGCTTACTATGGTTATCCACACTCCCGTACAACGCGAACATAAGCCCCAATGTATTCAAAGCCATCAAGTCCGAGTGGAGGAGATTCACTTTCGACATTCCTTTCGCACAGGAAGTTGAGGCTTTTCAAGACGGTCTGATGCACATAGTATGGCAAGATGAACATCCTTTGAGTTCCAAGATCTGGAGTAACGAAGAATCTAGGTTGGAAAAAATCGCATCACGAACAATGGTATTCTCTGATACGCTTACTCGACGAATATGGTGGCGCCAATTTCAACCGGAGGGCAACTCTGTTGAGCCTTTAGACCAGATCCCAACAAGACATGTCAATCGAGTCTTGTCAACAATAGATGGACTCATTTTGAAGTATGATCCGCAAAAGTTGAAATCCAAACAGCTCATTCCCAAACGTCAATCTCCTTGGGAACCACTGATGGACCGGTTTCATTCGATTCTTTCGAGTACTTCAAGTTGAATGAGTGTGGTCATAACATGAAGGATATGAGCTTAGAAAAATAACCTTATGAGCAATGTTGAATTATATATAGCTATTTAATATCTCAAACCTGAAGCTGAGCCTTTGTCAAGGTTAAATGGTCATCAGAAATCTTCCTGACACCATTTTATGAAGTCCATGATCTATATGAGTCTTCCAGTGAAACTAAACAGGTTAGAAAGTCTTCCAAAAAAACTCACAGAAGAACAGACAAGTTGAGATAAGACTGAAGCTACTGTACCTTTGCTAGAAGGCTAGATGGGAAAGGTATGCCCACAGGATGTAAGATGGATCATTGGATATCATCATCCTTTTCAGAGCCTTTTGAGGTAAACAATAAAAACATTGTTGTATTACCTCTCTCCTTGCATAATCTCAACAAGTTCCCATCAGATCCCCATAGGCTCACACTATACCTGTGAGGAGTGCGCGTCTGCTAGGCGTACTCTTCACTAAGAAGGTGATAAGGGAGGTAAATTGTGTTCTTCACGTGGTACACCCAAGTGAAGACTACAGCTAGTTGACCTCTAAGAAGAGGATTTGCAGAAGAGAGAAAGGGATTAAGGTCAGTAAAGAGCTAGTATGCTCTAACCTCGTGAGACTACAAGGGGCAGGCTTTACACTTTGGTGAACCAAAGATCCTGAAGGCTACTTTAGACTCCGTATAAGGGAGGAACCTTTGCTGCTTTACGGTTTATTTCTAGAGGATATGATGGCCTGAGGCTCGTAGAAATTGATACCGGGGTGCTCAGCAATAGAACCTGTGATGCTCAAGTTTGGTCTTTAGACTACACAACTAATCACATACTTGAGGATCCTCTATATAGGATTTCAAGTATAATGTGATTCTGATGTTGTGATGTGTTCACAGATGTGTGATGAATCAAGGGAAGAAGGGGGGTTTATATATTCACAGGTCAAGCGTCAACTTGTGGTTGGCGTGTGATTCTTGTCTCACTTGTGGTTGGCGCTTGGGTTAGGTTTGTTATGTATTTAATACATTATGTACATGTGTTTATGTGGCTCTTGACTCAGGATGGGGGAGCAGCCTTAAAAAAAAGGCGCACCCTGGCGTGTTTTTGTGAAAAAGGGTGCGTCTAGGCGTCACTGGCACGTCAGGCGTGGCCTTTCACTGCGCAAAAATGACAAAACATGAAAAAAATGCGAAAAAATCCACAAAATGCATTTTAACCAACCTTAAATACATATTTGTTGCTGATAAGGTGGAAGATGGATTGTTTGAAGGTCTATTGTTAATTGAAGTTGATTCATACAACAACTTGAAATGGATTTTATAAGAAAATAAACACGCGGAAAGCCCCACTTTCTCACTATGAGGCATACAGGCCTTTGGGCGCGCTCACCTTGTTTCCGAGATTTTTGGGCGTGCCCTGCGCCCAGGCGCGTTATTTTTTTTGCGCCCCCATCCTGACTCTTGACACTGAGCCTTGAGATGTACTTATGGATTTATACATATAATATAATATTACACGTGTTACTGTTAGCCCATGGTCATGTAATCAGGGCTCAGGGCTGACAATACCAACTCTCATAGATATTGGAAGATCCGTAGTGGTGTCCGTATTTTGCAGGCTCCCATCACCACCCCTGGAAGTGCTGCTGAAATTCAAGGGGTCAAAAGAAGTATGTTTCCATGGTAATCTACTGAAAACACTTGATCATACTATATCATCCTGAATGCTGTATGGACAAGTGCTACAATTTTCATTGCTGAAGGGTTTTTTTAACCATTTGGCTATCAAACATTAAGTATTGGGTGGCCCCCTATCTGCTTGAGGTCCTGTAAAATACAGGCACCACTGTGGATGTTATCATACTTGTCTTCTAATTGAAAAGTGCAGGCCCAATTCTGATTCTAATTAGGGGATACAAAGTAGAATCCGGGTGTGTGCCCGGATTTTTTTTGGCAGTAAATTTTGATTTTCTGGGCACAGTTAGTCTGGGCCCAGAATCAACGGTGGCTTGCTAAGCTAAGCTAAGGATTTTTGCCACCTTGGCTTAGCTTAGCTAGAAGCCGCTAAGGAAAAATGCGCTATCGCTAATCTTAGCGGATTTCCGCTAACGCTAAGCCATTAGCTTAGCGGGCGTAAAATGACACCCGCTAAGCCAATTAATTGGCCGCTAAACCGCTAATAGCGGCTTAGCGGCCCTTTTTTGCACTTAAAACGTGTATTTTTTTGATAGCTAAGCTCCCGGATTAGCTTAGCGCAGACCCCCTAAAGTAAAAATCAAAATTTGATTAGCTTAGCTTGAGTGCGCTAAGGATTTAGCGCTAGCTTAGCGACAAAAAATCGCTAAGCTAATGCACCGCTAAGCGCTAACTTAGCTTAGCCGTGCCACCGTTGCCAGAATCCAAATTTACTGCCAAAAGAAATCTGGGCACGCGCCCGGGCACGTGCCTGGATTCTACTTTGTATCCCCTAAATATAACCTACTGAGACTATGGAAGACCCATTTTTAATACAAGTTAAAACAAATCATGGTGTCTGAGGTACACCTGCTGTAGCTGCAAAGCACCTGCCAAAGATTGCATCACTATGTTTTGGAAAGTTATTATAGCTTGCAGCTTGTCTTTCACTCTTGTGTTAGGAAAAGGGATGGGCTGGAGCTGTATGTAATGTGCATTACATACACATATACTTATGCATGCTTGTGCATACTGTCTGGAGGATTTGACTTTCCTGATCCTCAAATCAGGGAAAAAATCTAGTCACATGTCAATATGTGAGGGAATCTTTTGATCAAATTCAAGGAGTGCACGCATATTCACATTGACAGTGACATGACTACAGTTGCATGCGCACTTTGTGGCACTGATCAACATGTCTTGCACATATTGATGTGACTAAATTTCCCCCTGGTATCACATAACAAAATGGGAAAGCAAAGCAAGGTGACTGGTAGGAATAACACTAGTGATTCAGAAGAGCCCTATGGCTATGATCAGATAAGAGTGACAAAGGATTAAGAAAGGCACCTGGTAGGAATCATACATTATTGATTTGGCAGGACACTATGACTATAATCACATAAGAGTGACAAAAGAGTAAGAAAGGAACCTGTTTGAAGGTGGCATGTGAAAGAAGAGAAAATTATTGAGTAATTCATTATGAGGAATCAGACATTGATAATGTAATGAAAACAAATAATAGCTAGAAAACCTGGTAGGAATCTCCTGTTGGTGATTCAGAAGAGCACTATGGCTATGATCACATATGAGTGATGAAAGAGTAAGAAAGGTACATAAAAGAAGAGAAAATGGTTGAGTGAGGAAACAATGGTGGACACACTCAACAACTTCTTTTATAGCAATTGGAATCTAGACATAGGTTAACAACTGCTAAAAAAGTTGTGACACTCACATGCCACATAGCTGATATGGTGTTGTGTGATATGGAACAGAAAAGAATAAGGCAACAACGGTTGATAAAAAATGTGCTCAATGTGGACCAGTGGAAAAAGGTGGGATGGTTACTAGTGTATGTGGAACAAAGGAAACCAGATTTCAATATTCCTCCTGTTGATGCTTCTTGAACTAGTCAATTGTGTTGGTCATGAATGATATTCCATTTCAGTATCCCTCATCATAGGATTGTTAACTTTAAATGGTGTTCAGTGCTAAGGAAACCTATGGCAAACAAGACTCACAATCGAAGGGTGTTGCAGACCTAGTCACTGCCACTCTCTTTGCTTGGGTTTTGTACTTGGTAATCCCTGCAGTGTTATCACTATATTGGTCTTCCTACACCCCTTTGCCAGCAAAGAAACTGATTGGACCTTCAGACACATCTTGTGGGCCAATTAATTGTTTTGGTAGGTACAATTGAGATATCAATGATCCGGTGGCTTATGAATAATATGATGGTTTCCTTTGTTACATCATATACACCTGTTGATCAATACACCATGTCTTGATTTTATTTGTCATGAAGGCTTACACCAAAAGTTACAGCTCTTCCACTCTCAAAGATTATGCCTGTATGGTACCATCAAGAAAAGACTGCAAATAGTCAAACTCTTTCAAAGACAATTCTGGGCGTGATCATTTTGGACATTCTACATCAGCATCTTACAATGGACTACTGTATGAGGTTCCTTGCTCCAAGTTGGTGCCCCCTTAATCGAAGGGTTGAGTACAGATGTTCAAGACTTTAGCAAGCAAATTAGCAGAAAGGTTTGGGGTGGCTATCCTCAATTTTCAAGACAGTAGGTAAATTTACATTTCGGTCAGGTTGTCCTCTTGATCAAGGAAGATCATTGTTCTGTTGAAACCTTGAGACTCCTGAGGTACTACATGCATTGACCGTTGTCTTTGGTCTTGCCATTTGACCTAACTGAGCCTCCTTGTATTGGAGTGGGCTCTCCATTGGTGGAAAAGCATCAGTTCCAATCATTTGGGTCTTGACAGGCAATTCAATATGGACACTAGTTGAGAACAAATAAAGAGGTAAGAGGGGGGATGAAAGAAAGAAAAGAAGTGGATTAAAATCCTGATGCCGGAGGCAATAACTTTGGGGATAATAGAATGGGTGGATAGTATTGCATTGAATTTGAGTGCCTTTGGTGACTGATCAACCAAGTCACTTCAGGATCAGGCAAGAGCGTTAGAGCCCCTCCGAAGGGGATGTGGGTCCTCCAGCATACAAAAAACAGTGTCAGCAGAGTATCTGCTGCCCAACATCCATTGCCTGCAAAATTTCAAAAACTCCCTAGGTTTGATGCAGCGCCAGAATATGCTCACAAGGAGATTTATAGCTACCCTCAAACCTCCCGAATGTGGCTGCTTCTACATTTTATGAGCCCGATCACATTACAATTTCCAGTGTTTTCATTTCATCAGCTCATTTCAGCTCTCATCGGGTTTCCGCGTCTTTATATGCCTAGATTTTGAATGCGGGGGTGAATGATCTGTCGGCGAAGCGTGCTCATGCGCCGAGACTTTCGTATCGGAGATGCCTCCAACAAAAGCAGTGAGTGATGGTCATGAAAATAGTAGTACAGAATAGGACATTGTTCACGATCTACAACAGCTCGATTGACGAAGACGTTTCAGTGTAGTCAGGCAGGTGTGTTGTCATACCGATTGCTATGAGTTACGAGATGAAAAGTTAAAAGGATTTGGACAATAATTAGTAGTCACTTGAACAGCGCCGTGACGTGATGACATAAGTGCTCGCAAACAAAACATGGTTTGTTTTGTTTTATAGGATGTATATTGAGATGAGCAAGACTAATGGCCGTCAGAAAATAATTTAATGTACTCATTGAGTTGGCACGGATGCTGATGGTTGCGGTGGTTGCTGAGTGTGAGCTGGATAACCAGGCCACGCTCCATATTGCGGTTGTTCACTGGGTGAAGCTGTGAACCCTCCCACCCCACCTGCTGGCCTTGAACTCTCAAGGTGCGCCTCACCTCCGAGAGACTGTTGATGATGAACATTGGTACCGGAAGACTGGTGTGGTGCGTTGGCCGGGCGGTGGTGATATGCAGTCGAGCTAGGGTTGACTTGAGAGGGGCGAGTGCCCTGGGGTGGAGAGGATGCCTTAGCTGCAAGTTGTTCGGGTGAGTATGCGTACCTACAAATGAACGCCATAGAGAGGATTCATCAGTCATGAGGGATGAGAGATGTCAGAAGCAATCGATCTGCAATTCACCAGTTTCCATCCGAGGCCAGGTAATAGCGACTGGTGTCAATGCCATCAGGGGCCAGTGTCTCCTGCGCCGGATATGTTGGATGTACTGTTACTCCCGGAAGACCACCTGAATGCTGATAGTTCTGTTGACCTGGGTAAGGTAAACCTGTTGTCTAATAGTTCATGCAAGTCAGGTCAGTACGATATGTGAACAAGAGCCATTACCACAATGAGGGCAATTTACTTGATCGTACGAGTAGTTAGCCGGTGCGTGATACGGCCGTGAGCTATACGAGGATTGAGGATAAGAGGTTTGTAGATGTGAAGTAGAATTGGGTTGTGTGTAAGTGTCGGCTGCAACTTTAATTCATAAGATGGATAATCGAACCAAGTCAGAACACCGATCATGCATATGGAATCATACAAACGGCGAACTTACCGCCTGGGTGGTATTTCGCGAGGCTTTCCTCGATCATAGTGTCATATGTCGTCTTGGCTTTCATAAACTTGTCATTGATCTGCAAAAGTTCGGCTACCGATTCCAACATCAGAACTCGAGTGGTCATACTTCGACATAGATCAGCGGAAACCCACTTTTCTTCTGTGTATATTTTTCAATGAGTCGTACAATCTTTGGTCGAAGTGACAATGTTTGTTGATAAAGCTCCGATAATTCGTCATTGTCAGCCAAGTTATCTTTCTTGGCGTCCAAAGTTTGCATCATTTGAAGTAGACGGTCAATCTCATTGGCTTGTGCAAACACTATAGCCTCTGCTTCTGCCTCTCTGGCTAATGATTCTGGAGTGGGATCCGGAATAGGTTCCTGTATGAAGTTATGTCAGACCTGGACTGACATCATATCTAGATGGAGTGAGTCAAATGAAGAAACATACTACATAATTGACTGGAAATATTCCTATCTGCCCTCGATACTCGCCTTTCCACCAGTCCTTGTAAGCAGAATCGATCACGCGGATCAGGTCACCTTCTTTGAAAGCCAGCTCTCCTTCCTCGTTCGGCTCGAAGTCGTAAAGAGCCTTGACTCGGCGCGGCGCCGGTTTGCTCAGGGTACGCATGGGGTAAAGCTCGGCACCAGTTGGAGGATGTAAAGATACTTCATCGGCTACAGGAGGTCCATCCTGCAGGGATACACGGGAGAATGCCTCCGTGGGCACAGGGTAATTCAGCACAGGGGCTTGTTGGGCCGCGGAAATAGGTTGAGGAGTAGGATCGTGATGATCTTGGCGACCTTGAGCAGATGAGGTTTGTGCGTTCATTCGGTTGTGAACTGAGGATGGAATGTAACCGGTTGGTCCTACGAGAGACTCGGATTTCGAGCTGGAAGGAAACTTCCCGACACCGGCCATGTTCATCCATTCGGCCTCACGTTCCGATTCAGCCAACGCCCGTTGTAGTTCCTCTTCCTCTCGCTTCAAGATGTCGTCCGGCTGTCCAGGTTAAATACAACAAGTGAAATCTTTTCAGCCAGGCTATGATGCTGTTCGTATTCATTTAATATGAATCATCAGCTTGCTTTGAGCTTACTGGATGGGTCACTGGCTCAGTTTCTTCCTCGTATTGGTACCCCTTTGACTTGAGCTCTTCAACGGTCTCTTCGACCAGCCCTAAGTTGACCTTTCCATGAAAATCATCCGACCATGATTTCAAACATTGTAGGATACGCTTCTTGACCTTCTCATGCGTATAACGATCTTGAACCAATCCGGATAAAACTTTCATGAAAGCACGACTTGAGACCTCCTTGTGTAAGTTTTCGTTCGTATTCTTGACCAATGCCTCCGTTAAGGTCAGGCAGAAAAGTTGTACATTTGCATTTCGATGTTGAAGCCTTTTTTGAACTGATGCAATACAATCGCGAGGACCATTGGGAGTCTTATCTGACATCACCTTATCGCATACTTCGATAAAACCCGACCAGTTTTCGGATGTTTGAGCTTCGTCCGTTGCTTTGATGACTACCTCATCGTATGGATTCACAGGCGCGCCTCGAAACATGATGGATTGTAACTTGAATCTTGGACAGAGATGAGATGGAGGTGACAATTTATGAATTGATTTCAAATGTGGTACAAGCAAGTAATTTGTAGTCAAGCTGTTCGGTGTAAATCCCGCCACCTTCTCAATAGCTCGGGGCATCATCGGCGGGAAGAGGCACAGCCCCCGTCTCGAGGCCACTGAAGTCAGCAATCTCACGAGTCTGTGGCTCCCGTGCCAGTGGTGGAGTGAGCCTGAAGGGCTGACGTCAATGAGTCCTTGAAATCCACATCACTCTGTCTGTGATTCCAAGACATTGGTGTAGCCATCGAAGCCGAACGTTATAACCTGGTTTCTTTGATGGAATGGATAGCACGTGTTTGTGATTAACAAGACCTTTTCAAACCCCTTCTCCTCCACTCTATGCTTCAATCATCTTGCAGGGTAAGAAACTGATAGCAACTTCATAGCAAATATATCAATGTGCATGTTCAAACTTATCAGCCTTTTGTAGTTATTTAGTCAAACTCGACATAATCACAAATCTCACAATAAGCATTCTACCATGCATTTTTTGTTTCATTTACCTGTTTCTCATAGGCAATCTTTCTTACGAAGCAACACTATGAAAGCCTGTGTTTTGTGTGCTCTTTGTGTCTATCCAAGGGCAGCTTTTGAAATTTGTGAATTTGCATCTTTAATAAATGAATCAATTATCAAACACTTCATAACAACGCATATCATAGCGGGAAATGCCATGTTCCAAATCATGTCCCTCCCAATCATTTCCTATCTTGTTAATTCATAGTTTTTATCTTCCAAGAAATTATTTACTCTTCATACTTTTGTGAATATCTAAGAAAGTACTGGGACTCGGGAGAGCACAAGCTGGCAATGCTTCTCAGTCAAATTACATCTCTGCAGGACCATACCAAAAGAGATCTATCATCTATACATGCATGAGGACCCCATACTGCATTCTCAACAGATGCTTCGGAATTCATCAAATATAGTACCCAATTGGAGACCATAGCTACGCCACTCCATAATGTTTTGTGCTGCAAGCTGTTGTGCTGCAGATTCTACAGCTTCCCAGGACTCCACAGGTTTCTCGGGCTCATGATCGGCGAAGTTTGTCAACCATATCTGCTTTCTGAGATCGCCAAAGTATACTGCTATCCGAGACGAGACCTCATCGCGAGCACGGGAGACTTCCAAAGTTCTCAAGAGGTCCTCCTTGGCGAGGGCGCCTGTGAGCGTTGACACATAATCAAGCATTTGACGCAGAAGTGGGTTGTGGGCGCTTCGCTTTGCTACAGCTTCACCGAGCTTATGCGCTGCCTCTTGACTCATCCTGTTGTCAAATCCCATTGTGGCTAGCCATAGAGAGCCGTTACTGATCTTGTCTGTTAAAAATTCTTGTTAGTGTTTCTAGTGCTGTTAGGTTAGCAGCCGCGGGAAAAAACTGACTGTGGAGATCCAAGTTGGAACGATCAAGTTGCATCAAGAAATCTACGTTGGATCGCGAGATTAAATGAACAAGATCATCGATGGACTGTCTTTCAAACTTGAAATGTTGCACGGAACCCGGCACCATCATATTTGGTGAACAGGTAAGAAATTATGACACTAACGTGGAGGCTCGATTCCATAGGACCAAACAAATCTTCCCAGAGTGTGATCAACCAATTCTATCATTCGGTGGAATATTCCATCTGTTCCCTCTCCAAAATTAACCGTATATTGATACATAGAAAGTAACGCTTTGGTTCTCTCGTCCTGAATTTTGAGTAGTTTAGATATACTTGCAGAATCGGTACCAATCAAGAACTGTAGATCCTCAATGGCTCCCTCAATCGTGGTATAGATGTTGTGACTTAAGCATTCTTCAGCCTGTGAAAACCCGTTACTCTCAGGCCTTTGAAGGATACTACGAAGAGTGACCAGCATCTCTTCCCTTAAGTTCTCAAAAGTTTGACCTCCATTGTAAGCAAAAATATTCATGAATCTTGGGATTAATGAGATTGTTCGCTCTCCTTTAAATTCGAAAAATATACGAAATGTGTCACGTAAGCTCTTTTAAGCATTCAGCAACACCAAGATAGATATCACGGGTAAACATACGGCATAAAGCTTTATCTTTTCCGCCCAAAGCATTCCCAGTGATTTCATCAAACCTGTTAGTCAGAGTGGTCTCCACTGAATCGACATTCCAAGAGAAAGGGGTCCTGTGCTCTGAAAAGATTCGAAGGCCATGCATTTGGGGAGGCTTGAAGATACCTGCATGAACATGTCATAGTTGTGTCAGTTTTAAGCCTCTCGTTTGTTTCGAACAGAACACTTCTAAACACCTTTTGTGGCTTTCTTCTCCAGACCATTTTTCATCGAGCCATCTCGTCCCAACCGGTTTTCAGACCCCTTGTTCTGTGGTGCAGGTTTCAATTTTCCTGCTTGATACCTTTCTCGATTGTCTAGAACAACTTCATGATAGGATAGGTCACATTTGTTTCAGTTTTGACACATCTCTTTGTTTGAAATTCTTTTGATTACCTTGTTGGACTTTCTTCTTCAGCTTTCGACCGTCTTTCGTCAAATCATCTCGCTCCAGTCGTTTCTTGGATCCCCTCTTCTGTGATACGAGTTTCCATTCTCCTGCTTGGTACCCTTCTTGATTCTCTGGAACAACTTTGTTATAGGAGACTTGCGAAGCTGATGGACCCCATCGCTCGGGTTTCATGTCCATTGAATGCACCTCCGAATATTGTGCTGCATGAAGCGTACATTCGGCAACACATACCAAAAAAGCGACATAAAATATCAAAGTAAGAAGTTTGATGTAGGTGGGTTTCCTGGCCATTTCATATATTAAAAGCTGCGCTCTGAGAAGTGTGTTTTGAAATAATGAGAGAATTTGGTGTTTTCTGACCCTTCTCCTCGTGGAATTGAATGCTTGAGGCATCAAAATTATATACAAGATGCCTTCCCTGCGCACCGAACGACAGCCGGCGTCTCAAAATTTTGTTGATCTCGAACAGAGCCAGAACCAATGCGCAAATGTATTTGTGAATATAGGGCTCACACATTATGTACCTGGGCCGTGATGTGTGAGCACTATATTCACAGATACATTTGCACATCATGTTGAATGTCAGAACCTACACATGATACATTTTGCCATCTAACACCAACCAGCAGTTGGAAGAGATGTCGATGTTACAAGCAAGTCGAAATATGGGATTGAGGCAAGCTGTGCAAACATATTGAATTCTGTAAAGGGATAGACGGCTTTTGAAAGCCACAGTATAGCCCCCTTTCATTCTGAGATTTCCACATTGTACGCAAGACTGTCTTCATCTATGTACTTGTCTCAAAAAATGATACAGTCGTTTTCAAAAAGCTTGCCGCTAATTCACCGCCAAATCGCTCGAGTTTTGCGGGCAAATTTCGGCAAGGTTTTTGAAAACGACTGTACATAACATCTTTGGATGACTGTGGAGCTATAAATAAACGTCACATGTATTAACTCTTGAAAGCACTACCGCGTAAATAACCAGTGTAAAATATTTTGTCAAGACAATTCGATTCAATGTTTGATGATACCTGCGTATAGTAGTGTTCCAGGACGCAAGTTGAAGAGTTTCAAGATGTTTTATATGTGAACTTCTTGTGAAGTGGTAACACAGTCTGGGGGCCTTCACGAGCCTTGACGGCTGTGTTGCAAAGTGCGCGGGGTCATGCGGCACGGAGGCACGAGGTGATAATTCAGTGAGAATGGCCGCAAGAAAGAATGCTGAAATCAGTCTCTGGTGACCCAAGTGGATGTCTGATGGTGTCTCTGCATGCTGTAGAAAATTGTGGTGAGAAGAGCACCTCATCGCAGAATTGAGGGTGGTCGACAGCGATTGTACATTCAGATATAAGGAAAAGTAAAGAGCGACTTTTCCCGGAGCTTTCAGTCATCCTCCTCGTGAATCTCAACAAAAAGGGTAGTGTCGCTATCAGTTTTGAATTGAGTTGTTCGATGCCGTTTCGACCAGATATCATGGTCATGGAAAGCAAAAGGGAATAAGAAGGTTGTTTGAATGATGATGATACGAAGGAGAAAGTTTTCGAAAACCATGAAGTGGTGGTAAAGTACCTGAGTGTATGCGCTGATTTCATCATATACCTTCCAGGTTTTCTAAGGATCGATTTATCGGAAACACTTGCTGCAATTCTTCTTAGATTGGCGTACAAACTCAATCGTCAAAATAATCTTTCATACTAATCATCCTGCAATTCTAATAAGTGATGACATCTCATTCGCATTCAAATCATCCGCTTTACGCTTTCTTGAGGCCAGAACCAGTTATAAATCGCCAACAAAGTCAAACACAGGCCTATGAAAGACGTCCTTCTAACTCTTTGAGTAGATCACAGAGCCGAAACGAGATACACAACATAGTGACCAAGGATCTCGTTTCCATTCTCACAACCGTTCGCACGCATACTGCATCGGTATTTCCCATTCTCTTCAAAATAATAGCTGGTCACATTGGGTTCGTAGGATACTCATAAAGGCTTTCCGCTTTGTAGTTGGACCGTTTAGCAAGCACTTTGAACCTCATCACGCAGAGATTAGATTCCCTAGAATCCTGCTGTCAGAATGGTCAAAAGGACATCAGCACACTCATTGCAAGCGCAAAAGCAGAGACTGGAATCACTGGTGGGTGCATTCCCTAAAAAACTCATTGGATTGAATCATATTAACACTCTTGATTCACCACTGATTGCAGCTAACGGAATAACAGATCGAGTCAGTAACATGCTCGAGCCATACCTCTCAACATTGCAAACGAAATTACCGGCTCTCGAAACTCACCTCAATGCCTTGCGGTCCGAAATTGTCAATCGAGCGCTGGACCCACCCGAACCGACGGCCCATCAAACCAAAGTTGAACACGAGATTGGCCGTCTACAAGATTCCTTCCAGAGACATACGACAACATCCACAAACGCCCAATCACAAGATCATGAGAGAATTTTGATACTCGAACAAGTAAGCATCAGATGTGATCCGAGCAACGCAATCTTGAATCAGCGGTATTTCTTTCTGACGACTGAGAATTTGTTTACAGGAATTCAAGACATTGAACAATTCAATCTTACCTTTATCTACACTTTCACCATTACTACAAAGCTTTCTTCAAGCAGAACTATCTCGTCAATCGACTTCTCGAGAGCAAATTCAAACATGCGAACCACTGCACACTGAAGTTGACCAAAATCCCATAGCTCACGAAAATCAGGAGACAGGACTGGAGGAAGCAACAACACTTGATGCATCTCAAGTCGTAAGTGTCCACGCAATATGCTCGCTGCGTAGAACGTGTCTCATTCTTCCCGAATCCTAGCTTGCCATTCTCACTTTACCATTTTGATCGCAGGTTACTACTCCCACATTTCAATCATGCTCCACAGGTATTTTCAACGAGTCTCAAAGAGTAGAGATTCCCATGAAAGAGCCAAACCCTCCATCTAGCATTCCGCATCATTTATCTACAGAAATCGATCGAGATCATCCAACAACAGATTCATCGCTCAATGATTTAAATCCTAAGGAAGCCGAATCACGACCGCCTCTCGGGATTATGGAGGATGGAGTAACACACTGCGCACCAAAGTTTCCGGAAGAACTTCTGCCAAGGAGACCTTCGCTGATCGATCTCATTGCAACGGAACAGCAAACCATGCTTGATCACTCAAAGATTCAGCTCGAGGAACTAAAATCACTTGAAAACGCTTCACAAGAAGCTCAACACATCTTAACTCAAGATCATCCTAGCTCTGAAACCAATGTTCGAAAACGGTCTAGATCGCGTCGACTAACCGGTACACCAAAACGCTACCTCACCAGAGCACATCAAGCTTCGAATCCAAATTTGTGCTACCAACATGATCTAGACATTCTCAGAGAGAGACCCAAAGGCCCAGAGAAGGAAACCATCATGAAGAACGGTACAGAGAAATCTGACGAGTTGAGAAGTCTCAAGACTCGAAAATTGGATTCTGCACTTTCAAAAAATGTGGAACGTCAATCACCTTCTTTTCAATCACATCGAGCCTTTTCATCTTCCGTAAATGTGAGATTGTTCATTTCACTTAATCTTGACTGTTTCCGTACAAGAAATGAGGTGTAAGACTGACTTGGAATCTTTGGGATTGATGAAAAAGCCAAAAAGGCATCGAAGACAACTGTTCGAAGTAGAAGAGGACGAGCAGAACCGTACATAGATCTGTGAAAGCTTCATCAAGTACTTCACACATTTGTAGAGTACGACCGTCACTAATTCTGCAAACTTATATGATAGATTACTACTGGGGCAGGCATCAAGGATCACCCAAATTCTACAGGAGGTATGATGCCGTCTGTAGTATGGGTTAGACATTGTTGTTCTACTTCAAGTTTGATGACCCAACACTAGAGTGTTTCACACTGAGTGAGGAATTGAAGAACTCCAAGGGAGTTGTTTGTTGTTCCATTTTTACGAAGATTCATGTAAACCAATGTGATCACTTTATTTCAAAAATAATGATCCCATCACTACTACCACTGTTGCTATTCAATGAACCTCTATTGATCGTGTTGAGATTGGGTCTCAAAATCAAAACATACCAACAATGTAGTTGAGAGAGACTCTGAGCAAGAATCTGACAACAAATCTAAATTGTCAAAATAATGAAGATATGACCATATGGCAAGGTATTTCCTCCGCAAGGCAAGGGCACAAGATGTACTCCTGTCTCAAAAGATGTTAGCTTAACAAAGCGCTTTATACGTGGCTGCCACCTTGCTATCAAGCTAACAAAAGATCTGTTGAAGACTCGTGTCCTCAGCATTGCATGAAGTAAATTAGTACGTTTAAAACATGGAGAGTGAGTTCGAGGAATCCCTGCACCAAACTTGACCATCAAAAGCAGTAAGCCAACCGAAACATTGGCGATATGCATAGCAGTCGGTTGAAAGTTGCACTTAAGCCGATTCTCATACATCAACATGTGACGTAGATCGCTAGGCAAACGTCGGTGAAGTGGAATGACATCAGATTGAGGCAATGAGCTTCATATGTCACATGGAATTGGAGCATTTGCTTTTGAGAAATCATAACCAAAATTGGCAAAGATTGATCCTTGGACTACATGAAGGACAAGGATGACAGCGGTTTTACAACATCATGAAGTAGAAAAGAGGAGCAAAACAAAGAGCTAAAACCTGCAGAAAAGATAAGATGAAGAAAAATCGTAACGGGGAGCTTGTAGGGGGATTTGCAGAGCTAGTTGACTCGAGAGGGTTATCAATAATATGACAGCGGTCGATGTTGAGTCAGAATCAGGCGCAGCAAGATCCTTTGCTCGCAGTCTTGCAGGGACATTCGCTGCAGGAACAAGTGTCACCACCGCAGACACAACCAGCGGCGGCGTTTCTTAAAAAGAGGATCAAACCAAGACCGGAATGAGTATCGAGATTGTTGATAGGGTCATGAGGTCAACTAAAACTTACGAGGTACAACCACAGCCAGTTTCTTTGTTGCAAGAGCAACCATCCAAGTTTCCAGCTCCACAAGGCTAAGATAAATAAAAGATAGCGAGCGTTAAAAGGAGTGAGCAACATGGTGAGATGAAGGAGAATTGGACTAACGGTACAAGCACAAGCTCGGACAGAGCCGTTCTCGAGCTTCACATCGGGGCAACCACCTAAAGAAAAGAAATGGAAATATTGAAAACTAAGCGCTTGTTGAAGTAAGATGAAAGAGGTCTAATGAAGATAGAGCTTACAAGCAGGCATGATGATGATTGAAAGGTTAAGAAGTGTTTAAAGCGGTTTATAAAAAGCTAGCAGTTATATTGATGAATTGTAAGACTTGTTTTATGGATGATTTGATAGAATGAGATTGGTTGGGTTGAAGGGAAAGAAACGGAATGGAGATAGAGTAGTGATTTTTATAGTCAAAATTTTGAGGGAAAGTTCGGGTGTCAAGGTCAAGTGATTTCAAAGTGACTAAAAGGTGAGAAGATTTCGCCGGCCTTAATGACTCACTTGTCACATGGTCTGAGAGACTTGAGTCAAAAAGGCCGTCCCTTGTTACCGTCTATGGAAGGAAGGGATCGAACGAGGGATTTTCGCCGCTTACACATTTTATGACCGCATTTAGTGACCGCAGTAGTGTGAGTGATGACATGAGTGATTTTTGCCGGCTAAAGTTTTCGAGTCTCACGCCTCGTAGCACGACCGCGGCGCAGTCCCGATCGGAAGAGCCGGATGCTCAGAACACACAAGCTCCGTTCCACACACTCTTGTGGAACACTGAGCTGATCATGTCTTACAGCTCTGTCCTATAAAGGTCACTCATCTTGCTTATCCTGTGCGATGCAACAAAGGGTAATCATCCGCAAGATCTGTATCTCCTCGGTCGTGACTCATATGTGCTCACTAAATTACATACAGTCATTTACTCAAAGGCTAAAGCTAAAGTTGCGCTTTGAAAGTTTCTTGTTTGTGGTTTCCATAGTCAACATGAAGCATACCATGAAGCTCCATGAAGACATGTCAACATGTTACCCACTAACTGTTGATATACCCCAACCCTTGTTCCATTTCTTTTCAACAGAAAAGAAGGCTTCAATTGTTCCACAAATCCTGAAGAAACAACGACAAACTTGGAATTGAGTCCCGAGAGAAATCTATGTACTTAGCATCCCTTTTTCTTATTCCAAACAAATGCCAAACTTCCTTTCAAGAAAGAAATAAAATGGAAACCTAGCAAGAAATCTACACCATCAATGGTGTTTCTATTTTCACCTCTGCAAATCCGTCAATACGAAAACAAACAAAAGCCAGAAAGATACCGGAATGAAGTTTGTCGTATATATGACCATGTAAGTCCATTACATATTGTCCCAAAAATTAATGCCCAAGAATTAAACAGTGGAATATTCCATTATAACTCTGGATGCACTTCACGGTGAAAATCATAAAAGACAAATTGTAGACAAACAAAACGGCTCAAATTACCTATCAAATTACGAACCACGAGTGAATAGTGAACACTTTTAATGTTTTCAAAGGATGATATCCAGGTATCCAAGATGTAATAATGAGTGGTGAAGCCATCTCTTCTGGATATGTGAAACTGCTTTTTCAGATCAGTTGAGTTTCCCTCCTATTGTTTTTTTTCAACAGATCCCTTTATCGTTTTACTGCAAGAGAATGTAGTGCCCCATAAAACCATTCGGTTGAAAATCGAAAACTCAGCAATTCCATTCAATTTCCATGAGGAGCTGGATAACTTCATCCGTTCTCGTCATTTTCATTTTTTTACAATTTTGCTGCTTAATGAGATGACACAAGTTAACCTCCAAGTCCAGTAGAGACTGAGTGCCGTTTTGCATGACTATCACAACGTACATACGGCGGTCATAAAAATGACGCATGTATCGCTAGATTTTAACGTTCGGGATCGCACACTGAACACCACACTCACCCCCTTGGAACTGTGGTACTACTACATGCCAGTTTGAGGGGAGGCCCGTTGAGCCCCTGGCCGTCCGAAGAAGCAACATAGATTGAAGAAATAGGATGCAGGTGATCTTACTGTTGTTGAACCAGACGTGAGCTCTGGATGAAGGGACTGTTTGAGTTGTTGAGGATAGTTTGAAAGTGTTGATTTAATGAATTTGAAGATTGGGGAGAATTGAAAGGATTAAAGGTTCCAGAAGGTGGGTGAAAAGGGGTTTGATCAGGAGAGGAAGATAGTGAGAATGAGAATGAGAGTGAGAGTGAAAGTGAAAAGCTGTTCTTGTGTATTCAGCTGTGAAGTTATTGACATATTTACCCCCAGTACGATAACCTTTTTTTTCAGTTTTGTTTCTTTGATATTGATTTTCGGAGTGATACCACTAAAACATATCACTTGACCTCACCTCTTGAACTTGCGAAACTTCATCTCATTCAATGGTCTCGCTAGCCCTCAAGTCTCGTTCAAGAGGATACAACTCATTCGAAGTTAAATTAAATGAAAATCAATCTCTCGATTCGCTTACAGTTCAAGACCTCAAGTCTATCATCAAGAAATCTACAAAGGTTAGAGTTCATTCATCGAGCAGTTCTTTACTATCCCTTTAATCTGATGGATCTGATATTCTTTTCGATGAATGACTTCATTAAGCTTGATTCGATTCGTCAGCGACTTACTACGGCCGATAAAAAAGTTCTCGATGACGATCGAAAAGCTTTATCAGACTACAATATTTTAGATGGTGATGAGATCACCTTCAAGGACCTAGGTCGCCAAATCTGTTGAGTATTTCTAGAACCTCAACCGACTGCTTTTGACTTGTTCTAATTGATTCCTCTGAACAGCATGGAGGACGGTTTTCTTGATCGAATATGTAAGACCAGCTAGATTGTCGATTTTGGTGATCGGTGTTCTTATCTTCAAATCACATTCGATCTTTTGTTTCATAGCTTGGACCTTTGATCATTCACCCTCTATTCTACTTCCCGAACCCATTATCAAATCAAATTTACAAAGGTCCAGTCTTACACAGTACAATGCAAAAGTGAGAAAACTTCATCTTCACTTCGTATACCTGTATTTGATGACCGATCTTTACTCCTCTTGTTACTCTTAGATCGGCCTTTGCTATGGTGATGGCCCATTTCGTTAAAAGGGAACTTGAAACTATCTTGTGAATCAAATTCGATTATATATTTTTGGATTAGATGGCTAGCTAATTCGAGAGTTGAACAAAAACTTGTTCTACTAAAATCATCTATCAACAGCGTTCATCGGTTTTCAAATGCTACAATGCCATTCCGTAACATATTCAAGAAGTAAGTCTATCACCAGATTAATCTACTTGATTGGGTTCATATCATACGGCTTTTTTCTCTCTAAGAGAACGTACTTGTTGATTCACTTTTATTATGTATATCCTTACAGCTCATTCCATTACTGGATCCTTTCTGGTGTTCTTTTAGCTATTCCGATCTATGGTCAAAATTCCTCAAGTTACAAATTAGCATCCACAATCTTTGATTCACCAGCCTGGCTTGGTTCTTGTCTTGCACTTTGGACTGTCAGTGTTTTCAGAGCTTCAAAGAGTACTGAATTTTTTTGACCTGATTCGAATTTGATTCCAAATTTGAACAGTATGCGGAACTTTCGAACTTAACCGTACACATGCATCTAAGATCACTAAGACCACCTGGAACAAAGACCCGAGTATTGCCATACGGTTATGGATTTAAATTAGTACATTGTCCAAATTATTTTTTTGAATCACTAGCTTGGTTTGCATTTACTGCATTAACTGGATCATGGGCATCTGGATTATTTTTGAGTGTTAGTACGACTCAAATGAGTTTATGGGCACTTAAAAAATCAAAAACTTATAAAAAAGAGTTTGGTGATCAAGTACCTAAGACTCGTAAAGCGATCTTTCCATTTATTCTTTGAAATCTGGGTTTTTTCTCTTCTTCATTCATGAAGAACTTTTTACTTCATCTCTATTATCATATATATGATGTGATGATTAAAATCCTATGCTAGAGTTTATTAGATTATCAATATTTTTATGCATTTCTTATTCTTACTCTTTCTTTTTTTTGATTGATTATATATCTTACAAATCTTACTTTATCAGTCTAATAGACCCCAAGATTTTTTTTTAGAAAAAGTACACAAAGGTATAAAAAAAATTAGGCAGAATTTATATGGTATAATTTTTTGAAGTAGAGAGAAACATGAGATCTTATAAGCTGATTGCAAAGTCAGGGGAAGATTTACCCTGGTTCCATATATATATCTCCTGCTGAACCCAGATAAGACATAACTGGAATGAAATGTGTTCATGGAATCAGATGTGTGATTATGTGATTGATCATTGTGATATACAAGATGATGATTCTTTGGTTTGATAAGGCATTTACCTCTATGTATATTTGATCACACACTTCAAATCCATTCATGGTGATTTTTGTGAGTCCTGATTAACTCTAAATTCTTGAAATTCTTGCTCATTTGGAGGCTATGCATACACCCTTGTTGTTTTTTTTGATACACCTCAAAGGTGGACTTAGTTAAGTTAGATGGTTCTTACATGTTCATGCTTGTTTTAGATGATGCTACTAAAAAAGGATGTTGGCCTAAAGTGAAACAACTCACATAGTAAAAACCAATTGTGCTATCAATCTTTAAGATTGATGCATTGTGAGGAGAAATGACATTCAGCACAAAATGGGATCAGGATACTGTGAAGCAATTGCAATGAATTGTTGCAATGAGACATGCAGAAGAATGTGGTGGTTGGGTGCCTAATCTCTAGTAAGTCTGTGTAATAAAGTCTTTTTGGATGATTGGCTATGTGAGCACAAGCAGATCATCCAAAAGAAAAGTTTTGATCTTGCTACACATCAAAGCCTGCACAAATGTATGATCCACATGATTTAGTAGTCATCTTTGTATAGGGCCAGGATTCCACCACTGACCAGACTTAACACAATTAGGGTTTTGGATTAAAATCCTATATCTTGAAGTTCATAATGAATGAAGCCTCATGGCTGGCCTTGGTCTCACTCCTCAAAATTTAGAATGAAAAAGCTTTCTCTGACTACATTTTAAAAGGGTATGTCTGCTTACATGGATGCAGAACCTTAATTGGGAATAAATATACTTTTTCCTTTTCCTTTTCCTTTACTTTCTTTACCTTTGTAGGGATTTACAAAGTACCAAGAGTCTGATAAATCATTCATTGGGCAAAGACAGTTCACTTGTCCCTAGAATGACTTGCTAAATTGATCTCACTAGCAGCTTTCATTCTCTTTCCCCAAATATTTTGAATCCAACTTCTTGGAGATGGTGGATTAATATCAGCAAGTGCATCAACCCATGTTCTATCCAACAGAATTCCCATGCCTAACTCTCATTACCAACTAGATGGGCTTATGGATGGTAGTTGAAACAAAGTTTGGACTTATGAGCATTGGTGCCTTCAATATTGGCTTTTGTTGTCATGAAAGACATGTCCCTAAACTTCCATTTGAAAGGTGTTCTTACAAATTATATGGTAAACAGTACTTGGGCTTTTTTACATCTTGGTTCTCTTTACCTTTCTTATTAATTATCTAAGCTTGTGTGATCTTCTTTCTCTCTTACATAATTACACCTTAGTTCTGTTTCAAAGTCCATGTGCCAAAACTAGGTCTGAACATTTCCATCAACTTCCCTTCACTGGGGTAGGAATATTTGAATGCCTCTGGATCCCTCTGTTATAGATTTTCAGATAAAGAACTACTTGATTTCATCAAAGTTGGATGATCTTTTCTCTTGATGTGGAACATGCTGCAATTATTTGGATAAGATAAGAACAGTTGTTCCAAGAAAGGTTGTTTCATTTTTCCAAAAATTCTCTCCTGTGCAAAGCCCATACTTTTGGTTTTGTTGAGGTTCTGCTTTTCACAAAATTGTGTGATATGGAAGGAAGAGGATCCTCCAATGATATTCATGCTTCCCTGTGACCATTTGTTCCACATCTTTTGACATACAACTGCTGAATCCTTTATGATTGATGTATCACAGGGGCAAAAATAGATGCTCACATTGGGATGAGCATTCAACTTTTATTGTTTCCTTCAAACTTTGTTCAATTTTACTTCTGAATTCTTTCCCTTTTCTTCCTGTTTTCTTCCTGCTTGTCAGCTTATTACATGATAAACAGGAACTGAGCAGATGAACTAAGCCTTCCTCAGGCATCATTCCTTGGCAAAGCAGCCTGAGGGAGGGCTAGCACATCAGCTCACTTTATCTCAGCCACTCAGCTGATCCTCAGCTGAATGCCTTGGAGCATGCTGATCCAGGGTTTTGGACAAGGCACTGAGATGTTCTGCTAGTACTACAGACACTGCACAATTAGCTTCAGCATGAGCTGTCTTAAGCCATAGATGAAAAGGAACTAGTGGTGTTTTTACCGCTAGTCCTATGAAAATCCCTAGTCATATTAGAGGATGATAATCTGGACTCATTAGACTTAGTACTGCTATATTTGTCGTATTTGTAATCCAGTGACTCATGAACTGATTATGAGTACTCATCCAAGAGACTGAGCTCAAAGAATGCTCATCCAAGATGAAAATAAGCATTCTCCGGCAATGTACAGCAGAATTTGAGCAAAACACAAACTGGGCAGATGAACTAGGCCTTCCTCAGGCTTCACCCTTAGCAAAGAATCCTGAAGGAAGTCTGTTCCATCTGCTCACTTCATCTCAGCCCCTCAGTGTCATCATGCCTTGGATCCTGCTGATCCAGGATTTTGGACAAGGTGATGAGCTCCTCTGTTTATGCAGTGACTCACAAACTGATTCTGAGTACTCATCTGAGAGGCTGAGCTCAAAGAATGCTCCTCCAAGGTGAAAATGAGCATTATCTAGCAATGTACAGCAAAATTTGAGCAAAACAGCCTGATCGCCTGGGGCTAGCACTTTAACCAATAGGATATGCATGCCTATGTATTCAGCTCTCTTCTTACAGACATGATTCACAGGATTCTTGACAATTTGTCACAGACTTGTCCAAAGCAGATGTCACATTTCCCAATTTTCTGTTGACAGTGCAAGTCAATTGATAATCTTCAAACCCATACTTACTTTTGTGCCAACCCATTGGCTCATCCTCATGCCGGTAAAGATGTCCTCACAGAGGATATCTTGGCCAACATTGCTTGGTTCACCACCCAACATGTTAGAAAGGTGGCAAGTTTATCAACAAGGAGCATGTTTCTTTGTTGTGGCAAGTATGTGTTAGTTGGGTCAAGGATGCAATAGAGGAGGTGGTCAATGAGATTATAAACATGTATATGTGAGGGTTTCACATTGATTTCATTCATCTTGAATGATGTAAAGCTTCACATATTATACATAGGCATTATATAATCACATCTTTCCTAGACAAATCTGGTTGTGATCAATAAGCAGATAGGTGTGGAGACTTGTGCAAAATTCCCCATTGCAATGCCACCTGTGCTCAGGAGGAGGTCAAGCCAAGGTCAGGATTGATCAATTAGGGAACATTCTTTACTGGAAGTGTGGTTGCTAGGGTGGCTGCAAGCACTGTAAAAGATATCATGTGCATGCCTGTTTGCCACAAAGATTTGACAAGATGGTTGGACATGTGACTGATTACTAGAAACTGACAGCTATGAATTAGTGGCTAAGAAGTTGTGCAACCCTTGGAATATTCCAGATTTCCTCTGCTATGTGTCTAAGAAGTGCTTGGGTGGGATTTACTAACGTGTATCACAGATGCAATGTAAATGTTCAAATTTTGTCAAGAACAAAGTGACTGGTTTTGTACAAGAATTAGTATTTTACTTTTGTTACAACTTGAAGTTGTAGAGTTTTGTACTTAGTAAAGACAAAACAGGATAGCAAAGGATTAAATTCTATGATATATAGCAGAAAATCAACTGAAACATAGAGAAATAATACAAAACCAAATATTGAGCAACATTTTCAATAAAGATGATAAAGATAAAGATATCACAATAAGATGACATGTATCATTAAAGAGTTAAGCACAAGCGCGCTGCGTAAGGGAAATTGAAAATGACAATAAAGAAGACTGCAAAATAATAATTAGGTTCTTTTCCTTGCAAGAAGGATCCTTGGATACAACAAACTCAGTATGTAAAGTAACTAAATCACTACACTGAGGGAGATTTTAATTCATCAAGAAAAAGAAAAGAAGGACGCATCAATGATATGCAAGAAGATAATAGATTACATTGAACTCCATCAAATCATCCGCTCCTGGCGTCAGGTTTCGTTCAAGTGAGTATCACAGGTCGTGTAACCCATTTTAGCGTATGGGACGCATTAGGCAGCCTTTTTCATCTGAGTAACTATTCTTTGGTGAAAAACGTGGAGTGTATGATTGCAGTTCGTAGTTGGAGGCACCGATTAAATCACCGGAAGACTTCGATAATTTGCCGCTGGACTTGAAGCTACTAATCCAAAATGAACCTGATTCATAAATTAACTTTCTATCATTCTCATCACGAGGTTTAACTCCTGTTTCTTCCCCTCGACATCTGAAGTCCCAATCTTGTTCAGTAGAATTTCTTGGCCGCTTAGTCTTCCTAACACCGTAGAGTCCGGCTACAGAAGAGCATCGGTCAAACAATGAACATGGTTGATCTGATAGTACAATCGGTTGTTCTATAACGTCAAAGAAGCCATGAAGGGTCGATGTCACAGAACGTGCAAGGCTTGGTCGCCTCTTTGAAGCTTTGGGTACTGCCTTTGGTTGAGGGCTAAGACGGAGTTGGGTATACTCCATATTTGATGATGAGCGAACATTACTGAGCTAACAACCACAATGATTATTGGAGAACAGATTTAGATCAAGAAGATGAACATACACACACACACATATAGATGTTGCTTACCGTATTTGAGGCCCTTTTGAGAGCTTCGGATAGCGTGCGGGTGATTCCCATAGAACGGGAACTCGTTTGGTGTGACCAACGTGTCGATGAGTGAGGAGAGTATGATTGACTAAAAGGATTCATTCCGTGACGTGGTTTGACGTTTTTGGGCAACAAGGGCCGATGAGACATATCCAAAGCACTTTGAATGGAGACTTGGCCGAAGTTGCTGCCTAGAATTTGGGCTGATCGATACGAGGTCGTAAAGAGGAACTATATGAACAAAAACTACTGATTCAACTTTTGTATATGTATGAGAAATTGCTGACGCGAATTTGCAATTAAGACAACAGCGCAAGACGCGAAGCGATAGATCAAATGGATTTGAGGCGTAAAATCTTTAGCACAGGTGTTGGAATATGTTATGAAGATGGGGCTTTGCGGACGTTAGGTGCAACAAGAAGGGGGGAGGAGAGAAGGTATGACAAAGACAGGATGATTTAAATAACAACGAGACCGGAATAATGCACAGTCTGATATTCTGAACGACTGCACTCGTCAGGCAAGATCGTAAACTGTGTTTATCTTGATTTGCAGCAAGCAGTTTAACCAAAATTGTCGTACAATATTGTATAATCGTAGACTTGAATTCAGGTATAGGAAAAGACTCGAAGAGGTGAGGAAGAGAGTGGATAGGCAAAAGGCTAATTCGGTGCTGGTAGATTGAAGCTGCTTGAGATGGGTCAGATACTCAACACGCGATTCAACACGGCAGAGTGGGCACGGTCGCGTGAATTGATGAGTGGGTCACCAGCTCTCCAAACCAACTTGAGGGTATGGAGTCAACCGCGCGCGTCCAGATGAGGTGATTTTAGAGCCCCATTCGTTCGGAGGAGACTTGGAAGGATCTCATAGTCTACGAAGTTAGATGTAAATTCCCAATACCATTCGATTCACAACGCGGGAAATCTGCGCCTGGTCCTTAGTGTCCCCTACTTTCATGAGGTTCATCTTCTTAAACTTCAATACATCTTGCATCAAGATGAGATTTCGACTTAACTATAGATCCTGTGTGAGACTTCTTGGAGAGGTGGTTGGCATCACTTTTCCAGGTCTTTGAACCTTGTCTGTGAGTGGAGTCTGAGAGGTCCAAACGTATGGCGCTGCGAAGCAAGAGACTTTGTTGAAAGATTGATACAGTCAAAACTCTCCAAATCCATAACTCGCTAAATCCATAAACCCCTCAAAGCCATAGGGTATGGTTTCCACATTTGTGGTGCAGGCCAAAATTTGGATTAACCCCTCTAGCCCCTTAACTCATACCAAAATAGTGGGAAAATGTGGTTTTTATCCCCGCTAGACCCATACTTTACCACAGAGTTAACTGCTCAGCAGTCTACCATCACTGACTTCTTCCGCTGTTCTCCTCTACCCTCAACCTGATGATCTATGTGTGTTCATAAACCTCTGTCACCCTTACTGTTCTTCACTTTTGTGATTGATTGTTCTCTTTGCTCAGCCCTCTAAATCTATGATTATCATGGTCTGATAGAGTTTTTGTTTCTAAAGAACCATACATCTATGGCATTAGAGGGTGTTTCTGATAAAGCCATACTTCTATGGTATTAGAGGGTTTTTTTAGTAAAACCATAGATAGGCTAAAACCCTATAAGCCCATAGCCCCTGGATTCCACAGAATGGTATGGCTTTAGGGAGTTTTGACTGTAGCTTGATCATCTCGGCCTAACTCTGAGCTGAGGAATGTAAAAAGATCTTTGTGTCGACTCATTTCAGACTGCGATTCACTGATGGACCATAGTCTGGGATTAGCATGCATATCGTAAAGACTTATACGAGAATCAAAATCTCAAAGAAATATCCAGGAAATAAGGGCTGCAAACTACATGAATGACAAGTTCAAGACCTGCCATGTTAAGGGTGGCAAGCTTTACGACAAGTTCAAGAAGTCGTGGATACCTGGGACGCGCCATAATGTCATCCGAGCAAAACATACTAGCCTGAGCCATGGATCAGGCAAAAGCAAGAGGTAAATCAAACCTTTGAGCTCTTGACGTCAAGCCAAGTTGCTTTCCAACAGACTTACTCTAAAGCAATCCTTGCGTGCATTCGGAAGTGACCACCATCAATTCTCATTGCCAACTGAAGTCCTTTTTCTAAACTTAAAAAAGTCCCAGGCTCGCCTGCCAAGTCCGTACTGAGATACAATTGATTCCGATCACAATAAGATAGCCTTTGAAGAATGCAACAGATCCGTATCTTTTTATTGGACTTGCGCGGGCAATTCCGAATTTTGGTCTTCCTCCAACACTCATCTACTCATGAACTCAAAACCCACCATGGGAAACCCTAAGTGCATTAAATCAAGCACGAGGTCAACCCAAAATATATTTGAATGGGATGAGTTCCTTTGAACATGACTACAACACTTTTACAGGGGCCAATAACAAAAGTGGATGTGCTGAAAATTTTGTTGGATTATTCTTTTCAGCCATATTTTGTACAATCACAAGGGCCAAGATTGATGCTCAGATACATGTGAGCATTGTACACTTTCCTTGGTACGGATGCCCAAAGGCACGACGGTATCCGGTAAGTTCCATGAGGCCTGGGGATGAACGACCCCGGAGATCAAGGCCCGACGAGTACCTCGGGCCTTCCGCGTATAGGAACATATCTCGAAGAATGCGCACAGACAGAGAAAATCTCTGACTCGCATTCTACTTCATCCCCAGAGCTCACCAGGAGAAAGATAAGATTATCCTTTCGCTGATTGTTTTCAACAAGAAACAACAATTTTTCTTTTCCTCCCACCCACCCCTTCACCCGCCACGCAGAGAACCCCCTTAGCCAGGCAGTCTTCGGCCTCGCGGCCTCCCCCAAGCCCGTGAGATCTGACTCTTACAGAGTTAGATATCACATAAAGAGACTGTATGACTAAGTAGTTGAAAACTGCACGTGTGAAGTCATTGACAGAGTAAACACATAGAAACTAAGTGACATAACGGTGAACACAGATCCTCATAGTGAACATCACACAGGTGCAAATGGATGAATTCTCCAAAAAGGATTGTTCCTCTTTCAGATTACTTCAATTGACAATCTTGGTAGTGCTCAGGTGATCAGGCTGTTTTGCTCAAATTTTGCTGTACATTGCTGGAGAATGCTCAATCCCATCTTGGATGAGCAATCTTTGAACTCAGTTTCTCAGATGAGTACTCAGAATCAGTTCATGAGTCACTGTATACTCAGGAAACTTCAGCACATTGTCAAAGACCACGCATCAGCAGGGTCCAAGGCATGCCGCTGAGGATCAGCTGAGCGGCTGAGATGAAGTGAGAAGATGGGCCATCCCTCCCTCAGGCTCAGGCTTCTTTGCTAAGCAGTGAAGCATGAGGAAGGCCTTCTCAGTTCCTGTTTTGCTCAAATTTTGATGTTCATTGCTGGAGAATGCTCATTGTCATCTTGGAGGAGCATTCTTTGAGCTCAGACTCTCAGATGTGTGCTCAGAATCATTTCATGAGTAACTGCATACTCACACCATGTAAATATCCGTGTAGCACGTCAACGTGCACACACAAAAGACTTTCCTTAGAACCTGTAAAGACCCATCAAAGAGGTGCCACAACAGGTGCATCTTCCCCTTATCAACTGGGATGTTGAAAGTCAGTTGATCCCAGCTGAGGACAAAGGATTCTGCAAATCCTATGAATAAACCACTATTCACAAAGGGCACTCAACAACAATCTCAGTCTAAATCCAACCAAAAAACTTTGAGATTTGTTTCAAAACTCTCCGTGTGTGCACGTCAACGTGCTACACAAATATTGACCTGGTGTCAGAGGAGCTCATCACCTTGTCCAAAATCCTGGATCAGCAGCATCCAAGGCATGATGACACTGAGGGGCTGAGATGAAGTGAGCAGATGGAACAGACCTCCTTCAGGATTCTTTGCTAAGGGTGAAGCCTGAGGAAGGCCTAGTTCATCTGCCCAGTTTGTGTTTTGCTCAAATTCTGCTGTACATTGCCGGAGAATGCTTATTTTCATCTTGGATGAGCATTCTTTGAGCTCAGTCTCTTGGATGAATACTCATAGTCAGCTCATGAGTCGCTGCATCCTGAGAAAAGCTCAGTGCCTTGTCCAAAACCCTGGATCAGCATGCTCCAGGGAATTCAGCTGAGGATCAGCTGAGTGGCTGAGATAAAGTGAGAAGATACGCCAGCCCTCCCTCAGACTTCTTTGCTAAGGAATGATGCCTGAGAAAAGCTTAGTTCATCTGCTCAGCTCCTGTTTATCATGTGATTAGCTGAAAAGCAGGAAGAAAACAGGAAGAAAAGGGATTGGAAGTAAAATTGAAAAAAAATTGAAAAAAATAACAAAAGTTCAATGCTCATCCCACTGTGAGCATCTATTTTTGCCCCTGTGTATAGAGCTTAAGACTTTCACCTCTCTGTCCAGGTTGACTCTTGCTCATGTGGTGTTGATTTACAAATTGGCATTGGACTCTTTCACAAGTTGTTGCACACAAGGGCCCACTGGTGTTGGTATTGTGGTACTGTTCTGGGACAAAGCAAAAGGATTGTTGGACCCTGTGCTGTGAGCTGTGTTAGGCCATCACTCCATTACCAATCACAAAATGGTCTGTTCAAGTGCATCAAGCCAATCATGGTCAGCAACCACAAGTTGTGCTTCAGCTTCCCACTCTGATTTCTCTTGCTCCACCCTCTCCACTTTAGCCTGCAGGGTATTGGTGATTTTGTTTTGAGTCATTGCTCCCGTGGCCTGAATCTTGCTATCACATTGCAAGGATTTGGCTGTTGCTTGTTGCATGGGATTATGTACAAAAATCCCTGGTACTACAGGCATATTCAAATTGGCTCAGTTGGAAAAGTTATGTACTATTTGTGTGTCAGGGTTAATGATTGGTTCTGGGTGAGACAAAGAAGCTAGGGTATGGGATGAAGAAGGGAAAATTGTTTGTATAGTCTTTCCAGGGATTTTGGCATCTTCAAATTCCAAAGGACAATTGTATCGAGGGGGAGCTGGTGCAGCTCATGATTTTGCAGATTCAGAATGCTGTGATTCTTGAAGAAAAGTGTCAGGACTAGTGCAGAAGTTACTGGGCAAATTGAATGGCATATGATTGGCAATTCAGGGGTTGTTCAACATGTTAAGATTTCAAGTCAAGTCAAATGGTTGTCAAAAAAAGAAATTTAAAGTTATGAGGACTTGATCAAGATGGTGTAAAGATATCAGCAGAAACCTTCACTATGACTTTCAAGAACTCTCACAGGGGCGCTATAACCACTGGAAAAATAATCTAGAACATGTGTTTGCTTTAAAAGTATCCAGCTAGCTAGTTTCAGTTGGGGTTTGTCAAGGAAACAAAATAAAAATCAGAACAATATGAAATGAAATATGATAAAGTGATGATAACCTTTACCTAGCTCAGGTTGGGGTTTGTGAAGCAAGAAGAACCCAACATGGAGCCAGGGCAAATTGAGAGTATGCAGAGTCAACTTGTATACAGACATGCAGTAACATCCTTACGCAACTGTGTTCTTCCTGACCAATTTTCTTCAGGGTTGCACAGAAAATTGCCATCACGGTGGGTGGGTGGTAATGATATCATATGTCACTGTTACCTATGCAACCTGATCAAATTTTCAGATATTTACAAGGAACATGTAAAGTACATGGAGATCTATGAGTGGTTAGAGAGTGCAAGTCTGTAGATAAAAAACATTTTTAAATCACGAGATCCTGAATGTATTCTCCTATAAGTTTCTGACTTGATCTTGGAATCACTATCACAGCAACACTTCCAAGAAAGTTATCTTGGAATTTCAACTCAAAAGTATCATTGGACTAAATCACCTCCCATGTGGTGTTCAAGTATTTAATCCAACACGTTTTTCAAGGCCAAATACACACCTGTCGTTGGGCATACCTCACTCTCAGAGCTCTGAGGACAGGATCTGGGCCCAGCATCAAATACTTGGCAATAAACAGTATTATGGCTACTGGGAAGGTTTACAACCCTCCCTTTTTGCTTTCTCTCTGCAGAATATCCTGAATTAAAACTGGATGTTGTGGCTGTGACAATACCACAAGGAATATCCTTGGGCCATGTTGAAGGAAAATAGCAGATGATTTGTCAGGCTCTATCACCTAGAGAGTAAACCTGGCAATGTGGGAAATATTGAAGTGAGCTCAAGAATGTTGGTTGAGTGCTGAAATAAACTGCACTGATGAAGAGGATCTCTTGATGAAGGGGGTACTTCCTTCATCAGGTCTCTGCTTTCTCTATTCAAACCCTTGGGGTGATCCTCCACATTCCCATAATCCTCATCTTTTCAAGCTCTTCTTTTTTTCTTGGTAGTCTTATGAGTTTTCCTGCTGTCTGAGCTGTAGCTGTATGAATCAACACTAGCGCGAGAACAACAAATGCCATTTTAACCTTTGACACACTAGCTAAACCTTTTACCAAATATTGCTCAATACCTTTTGTAACATTAATTACTCATTGCAACAGATCATGATTTACATCATTCTCCACAATTCTCCACAATTCTCCACAATTCTCCACAATTCTCCACAAAGATGATGTTTTTAATTGACAAGAGGGAGTTGATGCCCACTAGACTGACAAGATAGGTCTTGAATTATTCTCCACATAGATATCACTTTTAATGCACAAGAGGTGTTGGAACTGACTAGGCTGATGGTATCTAACAGTGATGTGGCAAACATGATCAGTCTCCGCAAGAATTGACTTATTGTAGCCCTCTCTGTGTGTCCCTTTGAAAACTAAATTTGACCTCAACACTCTGGAATGCAGGTCCAGGCACAAGTTTTGAATTACACCAAGGCAGTGCTTGTATATATTTAAAGTTATCTGTGACTGTTGTGAAACACATTGGGAGGTGTGGACATATATGATGCTATTCTATGGATAACAGAGGGCCAAGGCTGTTTTGAAATCTCAGTTACATCAAGTTTATATGTGTCTGATGGGTATATAAGCCAATCAATTTACATGTAATTTGCTCCTCATCCACACATATACTTCTTCCTGCACCTTGCCAATCAGTGATTTGCCCGTATTCTTATTACTGCAGTATTTGAAAAATCTCAATGACTGATTAGGATATTGCTTTTATCTTATTAGTCTGTTAGATTCATTTGGACAAGTGTGCTCTTTGGTCAAAGACAACTCAAATAGCTCAGAGACACACAGTTTCTTTGCTGTACGTCACTTGCCCTTGAAGCACTTCTATGGCTCCTTGGAAATCTTCCTCCACATCTGTATATCTTGACTAACTAGAATGAAAAATCCAGGTCAAGCACTATGAATACTGTCTTCCACATCACAAACATTGTGCTTATCTGCACCTTCTCAGCAATTGTTCAACCTGCACCCATCCAAAATTGTGGTGGATATGAGTTGACCAAACCCTGGATCGAAGGATTGGACACACAAGTGCTCAGTAATGGAGACAAGGTCTCCTCTTTTAGACAACATCCAGCACACAAGGGGGATGGTGAATGTTGTTTTTGTGCAGATTATGATGGTGATCCCCCCGCTTGTACTTGTTGTGGGATACCCTGTTGCACCATAGTATAAAAGAGACTAACTACAGCTAGCTAACAAAAGATGCATATCAGGAGAAGGAGGGTATACTTGATGGAACAATGTCAGCATGGCATTTTTGGGTTATCCGTGAATACCTTGATTGATATGCCACACTCAACTGTACTAATGATCTTTCATTCCTTTTGTTGCCTTTTTAGAAGGATTTTCTCCCCAATAATTAAAGTCATTCTCATATGTGCTGCTATCATGAATCTTAAGCTTCATATATATGATTGTTGTTGCATTATCTGTTCCCTGATCTGAGAGGTCCGAAGAGCTTTGGTTCATCATAAGTCCACTTCACAGAAGTGCTCAGGTTTTTGGTGCAGAGAGCATCTTCAAAATCTATGTTGGCAGGACTTGCAATTCTTCCCAAACCCAGGCCACATTGAAGACCTCTACAGGATGCAGGATGCATGGATTCTAACAAATCATCCAAGCAACCTATAAAAATGAATTCTAACTAATCATCCAAGCAACATATAAGGTGCAATATTGCTAGTGAAAATGCTAATGAACAGTTGGTGGCTGGGGAAACAAATAATTTGTGGAGTTGACATATGACAACTCTACAGGCAACATCAACTGGATAAGTTCAGGCTGGTGTAGCAAGCTTGTTAAGGTTTACCAGATCATCTGATGCTACATGTTTGAGCTACAAAGACAGACACAGCTGGAATATCTCAACTCATCTTGTTGTATGATCAACTAAATTATCTGTGTCTAGTGAAGGAAATTCACAGGTGCAAAAACAAATGCCTTTTTTCAATATTTGTTCAATTTTACTTCCAAATTCTTTTCCAGCTTGTCAGCTGACTAGATGATAAACAGGATTTGAGAGGATTAACTAGGCCTTCCTCAGGCATCATTCCTTAGCAAAGAAGCCTGATGGAGGGCTGGCCCATCTGCTCACTTCATCTCAGCCACACAGCTTGCCTTGGCCCCTGCTGATCCAGGGTTTTGGCCAAGGATCTGGGATTCGGCATGAGCCCTGCTTGCTTGGAAGCGGGTACTGGCAATAATCTACCCCAAGCGCTTTTTAAAAATGCTTCCCAGCTTCTGAGCTGCCCCCTCCCCGCCGGGGATCTCTCCATACGTCTTCAGACTGTCCCCCGCCACCAAAAATTGGGGCCTACCAAAATATTGGTTGCCTGTCAGTTCCCCATTGAGTGTTAGCAGGTAGAGCAGAAAATCTCTGTACATTCTCTTCATGAGTGAGTGCCGGCTCATCTTCTCCTTTTTTCTGGCAGTATATCAACATATTTACCTTCTTGTGGCCATCTATGAACTTTTATTAAGCCTGTCTTACCTTTGAATTCTCCATATCTGCATGCAATATCATACATTTCTGCTATGATTACAGTAGCTCAGTTCCCTGACAAATACCAGGGATCCTCATACTCCAGCCCGGCTCCCATTCCATTGGAGTTGGTACTGGTCAGGGGGGATGAGATACCCAGCCCAAGGCACCATACTGATGGTACGGAAGCCAGAGATCAACAAGGTCACAGGTAACGGGACTCATGCTGAGCTGGGATGTTCTGAGTATGCAGTTACTGGTGAACTGATTCCCAGTACTGATCTGAGAGACTGAGCTCCAAGAATGCTCATCATAGATGAAAATGTGCATTCTCCAGCTATTTACAGCAGAATTTGATCAAAAAAGGAACTTGACAGATGAACTACAGTTGGGAAATTTGAAGCTCAACCACGGTCCCTGGGCAAAAACAAAATTTGAACTGCCTGGGGGACTTGCAGCTTTGGGAAGCCCAAAGCCAGGTCAAAAAAATCATTTATGGAGCAAGAGAATGTGTTGCAATTTGAAAATCACCCTCACAGCTCTTTGTGATTAGCCAATTTTTATTTTATTTTTCTTGACCACCCACATTTGGGACACATACAACATACAGGATAAAACTGTGGTTCTGTCATATATACTTAACTACCTAACATTCATAACTAGGTAGCCAGGGGACATAACTAAGTACATAGCATACGTAAGTGCACATAACATGCTTTAGATGTGCATAGGGACAACCTAAATACCAACTTGAATTGTTTTCAGTCTTCATGAATGCCTGCATCACATGCAATACAACGGTGAGAATGATAAATCTTCTCTCTGATGGACCTCTCAGCTTGAGCTCCAGGGAGACCATAAGAAATTTCTGGTGAGAAATCACATTCTGCAAAATTTAAATTTTCTATTTGGTGGTTTATGTTTCATTTTTGCATCAAAAAGATTCCAAAATGTGATTTCTGGTCAGAAATTCCTTAAGTGAAAATGCCCTGAATGTAACCTGATACAGCTGAATGTGACCAAAGTGAGACTTGAGACAGTTGAGGGGATTGGACTCTCAAATGAGCTCATCAGTCCATCCCTGCCACTCATTAAGAAGAAAACCTGAACACCATTGGTAAAGGAGCTTGCCTTACTTGATGATTGGGGAGGCTCTAGGAGTGATACACTGTTGAAGGTTTCAGCTTGCCTCGCATGATTAGGGAGGCTCAAGGAGTGATACATTCATTATTTCCTCTCTTGTGAACAAGCTGAGCTTGTGTGTGATGAAGCTTTGTGATGTCAAGTTAAGGAACACTGAGGGGTGAACACAATTATTATGTAGATAATGGATGAACAAAACCAACCATAATCAAGAACACTTGCCATTTGCAACAGTTACTTGTGTGGTTTACATGCTTAGAGCATCCCCAGCCGTGTGCCGTGAACTAGGGCTGTGACCTGACCCTGAGAGTTCAGGGCCGGCCCCGGGGCCAAATTCAGCCCTGAGTGAGCCCAAGGACCTCTGAAAACTGCTCAAGGCCAATCAGGGCCGGTAAGAGACTGGTGTGAAGGCGTTTTTTTGGCGAAAAAAGGGTTGGCACCTTGGCCGGGTCGGGCGCCCGAGCCGCCTGAAGCTCCCACGGGGCCATTTTCAGCTGTCATTGAGCAGGATCTGGATGCCCCAGGGCGCGTACCGTCAGCTCTGTGAAAGACGTCGGGCAGAGTCGGCCGGGCAGGGCCGGGTCCGGGTCACTGCCCTACTGTAGATTTGGGGTATTTTTATCCACAGCCATTACCCCCAAACACATACTTAGCTTGGGTAATTCTCCACATGTGATTCAAAATAGGCCAAATATGGTCTTTTTCCGCTTGCACCCTAAATCCTTCTGTACCTCACTTCTCCCATAAACTCTGACTTGTACAATTGGACTCTCTGCAAATCACGCACCTCAATAATCATCTAAGCCATAACACAGCTCCCAAATTATGCTACAAGCCAAAATGTAGGGAACCACGGCTGTACATACTTCAAAGTTCATACCTCAAACAGTTCCCTAAACAATCTGTGCGGTCCTCTGTACGTTACCAATTTATGGCACGGCTGGGGATGCTCTAAAGTTGCTATCCTGGCCAAAACTTTGAAGCCCTTTTTTGCAGAGGGGAGCACTTTCCTCAATAACAATGTGCAAGAGATCAGTGCACAGCTTTTCCTTGTGGCCTATATACAGAACCTCAGTATGGTCAGAAGAGTCGGAAGGGATTGAAGGAGGCTCTTTTCCTTCCTGCCAGGCTGCAGCATCTGAATTCTTGGTCCGTCAACTCTAGTCCTGTACAGCATGTGACATGTGATGCACCAGGGTGTGTATGTAACTTGTCACAGGCTCTGTCACTGCTTCATGACACCCGGAACCGAGCCTGTGCACTCGTGGAGACTGGAGTTGTGACGTAGCGCAGAGTGAAGGCTTGATATTTAAACCACAACTCATCGACTTCATTCCCTACTCAAACTTCAATCAACATGGCAGCAGGCTTTTCACCTCATAATCCAACTGGTCATATCCATCAGTCCTCTTGCTGTTCTGGCAATGAACCTAAACTCACTGTCGAAGCTCCTTCATCTTTGGACGACCTCATCACCCTGTACGACCTTTCTGTCGATTCTTCCACCAACAAGGTCAATCTCGCACCCAAAGCAAATGCTAATATCAAAGGAGCGGCTAAATCAGTGCAAGATACTTTAGACATTATTAATGATTTATCTCAATACTTGGTCCGAGCTCCCTTTCCTCACTGCCCGCCTCAGCCACAATTGGTACAAAACAATGCCCGCTCTCAGCAAATTAACAAAATGAAAGAGGATGGAAATGTTGCATTCAAAGGCAACAATTTTGAACGAGCGGTAGAGCTCTACACCTTGGCCGCAGAGGCAGCTGCGACTCGGCCACTCTTCGAGCCATCGATGTGGGTCAAAGAAGAACTGAGCGTCGTACTATGTAATCGGGCTGCTGCCTATCAATCGATGAAAAAATGGGTTGAAGCTCTATGTGATGCCGAAGCTGTGATTCAATTGAAGCGAAACTGGAGCAAAGGTCATTTTCGAAAAGCTAAGGCATTACAAGGAATGGGGAAATTAGATCAAGCAAGAGACGCTGCTCTGTTGGGACTTGAGTTTGAGCCTGATAATTCAGTACGTCCCTTTCACAGCAATTGCTTTGTTTTCTTTTGCCAAACTGATTAAAAATGACTTTTCGAACAGGACTTGAGAACGATCCACAACGAGATTGCTGCAGCCAGTGCCGCATAAAGAATCTCGGCCATTGTTCGGGAGAAATAAGCAGAGGCCATGAACCACCTCCGACTAAGAAGCAACCTTTATCGAAATATCCCAAAATCTCTATCAGTATGACATTCTGCAATCCATCTTACATTCAACCTTTTTTTTAGCCTTTGACATCCACATGTTCAGTTCCCTTGTAGCGTCCGCGTTGCCTCTTATCATTTCATTGCGCCTATCCTGTGGTCTTCCTACATTGCGTGGCGGCGGTTGTTTCATATTCGATCCCATCTGATCTAAAGTCATGCATCTCGTGCGGAATCTAGAATATAACTTACTTGGAGTCACAAAAGACCATCTATAACAATCTCTCCAGAAGCCTCTGTGATACCATCAATTTGTCTGGCTGAGTAACTGGGTGAACAAATATGATAGCAACATTAGTTTGGAGCCTGAGGGCTTCAAGTTGGTTGTATGTCTATAGCATGATCTGAAAGCAGAACAGTCAATCATGAGATCTTTGAAGCAAAAATGACTATAATTCGTGGTTTTGGCTTGGATGTTTCTTTGAGTACCGCCAGCTTTTCGATCTGTTATCACATCTCTTGACACCCTGCTCTGTTGCCACATCACTCAAATGGCATTGGTGATACTGTGAACGTTTGTCTGCCACATTTTGTAGTATACATATGCGCAATAGTGAGCTTGACCATTTTGTGAGATTTGGTATCTGCTAGCAAGGTCAGAGATAACATAGCCCTACCAATCGGTCCACATTGTTTCTTATGTATACCACTCCACATTGCCACATGAGTTTCTATGTGCAAGCTCACAACATCACAGCCCAGAAACAGAAGTCAAGCTGTGGCTTTTATATGGGTTGTCACCTGGTAGTCTTCGTCTCATCTGAAGACTGATACGGTTGTCCAGTAGGCAATCTCACCCGTGATCCGGCATCCTGTTGTACAATATCACAGTGCAGCCTAGCCCACGATCATCTGAAAGCTTGCTGGCGTTTTTTGACCCCAGAGCTCCTAAATCGATCAGCCTTCTCCACCGGTCGGTACAGTATGTCTTCCGGGATGAGTCCCAGCGTGGCCTAGCACACGCTCTTATAGAAGTTTGCTGGCTTTTGTCACTTTTGATTGCCGCATTCATCACTTTCTGATTTACCAAGCCTTGACGGTACAAGATATTTTTGTCTAATTTTTTTCACACTTTTCCTCAATCTCTTTCAGTCGTGCTCTACTCATATCCTTCCGATAACGCGAAAACAATGATCTCCAAAGTTGCTTTACTATTGTTTGCGATCACGGTCGTGTCCCCAATCACTGGCACAGCCGGAGACGACGTCACCAACAAAGTGACCTGTGATCAAACATATCGTGGGGTTAAAACTCATGCTCGTGAGTAAAACGGGTGCAAGGATGAAAGTTTTCCTTACGCACTCTGATCCAATCTGACCGTGCGTCTGCAATTAGGTTGCAGCACTGATGGTTACTTCTATGATTGTAGTGATTGCACTGATGGAACTGCAAGTAAGTCCCAGAATTTCCATGCAGGTTCTCCTATCCAAATCATTCTGACTTTTGAAATTAGAGGGACTGTTCTGCGTCCATACAAGTATACATATGCGCAATAGTGAGCTTGACCATTTTGTGAGATTTGGTATCTGCTAGCAAGGTCAGAGATAACATAGCCCTACCAATCGGTCCACATTGTTTCTTATGTATACCACTCCACATTGCCACATGAGTTTCTATGTGCAAGCTCACAACATCACAGCCCAGAAACAGAAGTCAAGCTGTGGCTTTTATATGGGTTGTCACCTGGTAGTCTTCGTCTCATCTGAAGACTGATACGGTTGTCCAGTAGGCAATCTCACCCGTGATCCGGCATCCTGTTGTACAATATCACAGTGCAGCCTAGCCCACGATCATCTGAAAGCTTGCTGGCGTTTTTTGACCCCAGAGCTCCTAAATCGATCAGCCTTCTCCACCGGTCGGTACAGTATGTCTTCCGGGATGAGTCCCAGCGTGGCCTAGCACACGCTCTTATAGAAGTTTGCTGGCTTTTGTCACTTTTGATTGCCGCATTCATCACTTTCTGATTTACCAAGCCTTGACGGTACAAGATATTTTTGTCTAATTTTTTTCACACTTTTCCTCAATCTCTTTCAGTCGTGCTCTACTCATATCCTTCCGATAACGCGAAAACAATGATCTCCAAAGTTGCTTTACTATTGTTTGCGATCACGGTCGTGTCCCCAATCACTGGCACAGCCGGAGACGACGTCACCAACAAAGTGACCTGTGATCAAACATATCGTGGGGTTAAAACTCATGCTCGTGAGTAAAACGGGTGCAAGGATGAAAGTTTTCCTTACGCACTCTGATCCAATCTGACCGTGCGTCTGCAATTAGGTTGCAGCACTGATGGTTACTTCTATGATTGTAGTGATTGCACTGATGGAACTGCAAGTAAGTCCCAGAATTTCCATGCAGGTTCTCCTATCCAAATCATTCTGACTTTTGAAATTAGAGGGACTGTTCTGCGTCCATACAAAGGGTATTCCATCAAAACTGCCTGACGCACAAACACCAGGGGTTGTGAAGGACGCAGCATGTATCAATTACGAGAAGCTTACCCGTGACAACAAACCATTCGGCTATGGTACAGGCTCCTTTCAAGATGAACTATTTATCTTCCAGTCAAAGAATATTGATTTATTTTTCCTTTGTAGGGTGCTCCACGGGAAAAGTTCCACAAAGTTTATTTTGTAATGATCTAGATTCAAAGACAATGTACGTCTCATTTCGGGAAAGAAGTTTGAAAAGTTAGGCGTGATCAAAGCTGATAAATCCTTCAACAAAATTTGAACTTGGAATATGGCCTACTTTTAGTCCAAGTGAGTTACAGTTTCAGTGCATTCAAGAGTTGAACTCTTACAACCTATCCACACGGCCCGGCCGTATTCGAGAGCGCTTTTACAGCATGGATCTCAAAAATCAAAGCAGTCCCTTCTTGAACGTGACTGACTTTTTACACTTCCCTTCAGCTTGTCAGAAGTGCAAAAAAGGAGGTAAAAGACCTGACCTGATTGTTTAGTTGTATTTGCGGCCAAGCACTGCGGTTTGAGATTTGAGAGGTGTGCCAAGGAGGCGACCATGGATGCTTGATTTTCCAAACTGACACGATTTCAATCTCCAATTCCTGTAGACTTCTAAAGGAATGAGCCGATGGAGCTATCAATTATGAAGACATCGTTTTCGGCTTGGATGAATGTCAACTTTGTCATCACCTCGCTGCTGACAATTCTCTACTGTGTTTGGTCATTTCATCTTGTTGATCATTGATTGGAAGATTTGTGTCCAAACCTCCAGAGCTGGCTTGGGTGGTTACGCTACATACATATCACATGCTTGTTTTGACGAGGAAGATTTCTTAGTGGACCTCTGGCTGCACATGGAAAATTAAATATTTGTCAACGATCATTGTACTCGATCGAGGCTTGACACAACCCACTTGAGGCATTTGCATCCACTACATTGCTGTTTAAAGTGTCAATTATTATGAAACTGATGATCCGCTTGCAGGTTGGATTGAGGTCCTGGGTACACGTAAACCCCAATACCCCTCTGAGGAAAACAAATGTACCTGATGAGGGAGTATCAGCGCAACAGAAACTTGAACCAAGAGCTCATACCATACCTTGCAGGTCACTTCTAAAGACAATCAGCTCCCACATTCAAGATCTTTGGGGGTTCAGAAAACGTGAAACCAAAGGTCACATATGTGCCAAGACAAAATAAATCTATATATAAGAGAGACTTGAAATTGGTTGACATAGGTGTATTGTGAGATTTTCTGAGCGCTGCAAGTCGGGAAAGGCCAGGATGTGAGATGACTGAAGCCCGTCGAAAGCAAAATGGATATGACTGCTGACGATGATATGCATTACAACAAATGAAATGACCACATATGCTTTGGTACATAAATCTATATATACTGGATATCACAAGATTTATCTTAAAGATTAAATTGATCAACTACCTACTTTGCAATGTTCCTAAAGAGGCGGACACCAGGGAATTTCACTCCAGTAAGTGAGATGATACAATACAGAAGTGACCAGGTCGAACCAATACTCAACTGCATCAATTTTAGGATTCCACCATGATTCTGACCCTTGAATGCTCAATACGTATATCGTCAGGGCGTTGATGCTTGTACCAGCGTCCAACGCACTTTACAGAACCAGACCGCATCACGTCAATTCCACGGAATTTTGAGAGGAAATCTCCTGTTGTGAATTGCACTGTTGATCGCTCACCTTGACAGGACGTAATTGTACTTTTCGAACCACTTCGGTCGATACCGTAAAGCCCAATACTGTGAGAAGAATGCAGCTAGCAACCCACAGGTGATACTATAAAGTTCAGAATGAGTGTTTGAGTTGTGGCATTGACCCGCCAGATTTCATTCTATAACGTTGTCGTTGTAGACGCAGGGCGAGGATCAAAATGAAATGGATAGACTGACATATTGGTTGGAATTTGTGGAGGGATGATAGAGCCGTGTAGCAACACTGAAATGATCGACAAAATCCGAGTTCAAGTGGTCAGCCTCATATCGCCTGTAAGGTCTTTGGATCAAGTTTGTTACTAGAATGATTTGGAAAGCTCAACAAGGAATACTCAGTTTCTTCCACTGAACTCGCGGGTACCATTTTGCTAAAACCCAAGGAATGAAGGGCAAGATAGCTCCGATGGGGAATCCCCAAAATAGTGTTCGATATTTGCCTGACGAGATAGGATAGAGTTAGTACGGAGTTTGACCGCACAGACACAAAGGTTATGACAAACCAGCGAAGAAGCGAATCGGACCAATCAGACCCCCTGCATACAGTGTAGTTAGCCGACAGTTACACGATGGCAGATCAATAGCCGAGAACAAACATATCACCGAGGCAGAGTAGAAAATTTCAGGTTTTCTGCCAGTCCATTGACCAGTGGGATCCTCGACAGTGCCATCCAACATGGCTCTCTTGTCGGCGATTACAGATCTTATGAAGACATAGTTTATCACTGCGCCTACTGACGTCCCTACTATCCTATGGAAGGTAAATTTCAACTTTCCCGGATGCATAGAGCAAATGAGAAGACGATGAACTGGAGTGCTAACGTACTGACACAAGAACATATCCTTCGGTGGGATTTCTGTAGAGGTTATCTTATCAGCTAGCGCGCTTAACGAGGATTCCAAAAGACTATAAGTGAGACTCAACTAGCATAGATACCCAGCTTCAAGTCAGAAGCTAGATCCAAGCACTGACTCATCGTCATATAACCGTAGCTACATTCGATCAAGCCAGTCAATGGCTACTCGGGTACAGGAGGGTGAGCTCAGTTAGCTTACACCTTGAAAGTCACGTTGGCCAATGGTCGTCCACTAGAGTCAAAGAGTGGTTAGTTGTTGACACGTTGTGATGGTATTGCCCTAACTGAGTGAGCTTAGCAGCTTGTGCAGAACTTACGGCAATAGTATCCCGGCTACAAATTCGGCTACATGAAAACCAGTCAAGCTTTAGTATTACAACATAGTCAAAGTCTCAGACTACGCGAAAATGGAGCATACTTATGACATTAAGGCCAATCTGGGTGTTCGTGGTTGCTTTGACTAAAAGTAGATAAAAACTTCAGTACCACTGCTAGAGCTTGGATGATACCCGGGGATGTAACGTACTGATACCCTTTGGGCATGTTGATCAAGTAGGATGAGGTACAAATGTTCATATTAGAGGGCTTTATATCGATATTACTGGGCACATGGCTCGATTCAATGCGTTCTGGACCAGCTTACTATAGGTATGATGAAAAACGTAGCCTGAGAAGACACAGACGTCAGAGTGTGCTCAAGAAGGAGATCAAGAAGGAGATTATTGATGTGGTCAATCTTGACTGACCATTCCCAATGCTAAAAGCAATGCCCAAACCGGGCACTGAGAGACAGTTGATGCGCGCAGGTCCTCAGTCAGCTAGCAGGAGCGATATAACTCAAATGCAATCACATCATTGGAATGTTACTCAACTTGTAGTGGATATACCATGACGACGAAGACCGAAGCTAAGAACATAGTACCCCCGACCCACGCATACCAAGTCCAGGGTACGTTCCCATAATTCCTCTCAACCATCTCGACGTGGACATCCTATTTGCAAACATTGTGAGTTGTTGAGGCTTGTCAATGAATATATGACACTGACTTACTGAAGATCTTTTGTGTCTATCGGAAAGTGCCGAGCTGATGTCCTCCCAATGGAATAAGAAGACTGTGACAACAGCAGATGTGAGAACGGCAAAGCTGATCCCGTAGGAGATTGCAAAGTAGGGTGTCAATTGGATTGGTCCCAATTCTGTCGAGTTACCAGATAGAGATGTCAGATTATCAAGTATACTGGTAAAGCTCGCGCCAAGCTGATTGCCCTCACCTGCAAACCTTGTGAACGCGAATTAATATAGAAGAGTACAGTATGTAGAAGAAGGTTACCGTCAGATTAGGTTGGTCGATTAAATCGCAGAGGATTCGACCTTACTTTGCTTCATCAAGAGTGAAGTCCGGCTTAACTACAGCAGCGACATTGTACTTTTGATAATTTTGATCGTACAAGCGAGCGGAAACTGCATTGTCTCCAAAGCTTTGGTTCTAGAGTTCCGCGGAAGTGATCAGCTATTTGTTCGGCTGCTTCTGTAAGTGGAAGCTAGCGCACGTTCCAGAAGTTCTTGTACCACATCAATGGTACCAGGATCCACATTGATATGATCATACCAATAAAGAAATTTAGTGAAGAGAAGAATGGTGTGAAGAGGGAGCCTGAAGAGGATCACCAAAATAAAAATCAAGACGAAGCTGAGTAAGACTGTCAGTTAATCCGTGAATCGGGTCGCTAGGAGCATACCAGAAGAACCGATGACCTGTCAAGTTCAGGAATCATATATCCAGAGGTCAGACAAGATGGATAAAGGGGTTGACAGGGAGATAGGGTTTTTACCGTCCAATCCAAAGAAAATGTCATCAAACCCTGGTTGCACATAGGACGCAGCAGTTGAGGTCAATTCTTCTTACTGCCTCAAGCAAGTTAGGTGATGGAGAAGATGATAACTTACGGCTCCAGTGTCTAACGCAAGCGCGTGAAGACGGACATAAAAGTAGAAAGTAAGTGCGACTCTTTCGCTAGTGGATTGAAGTATAAAAGATGCAAGACAATTTACAAGCAGATCCTAGGACCCTCATAAATGCAGATCGATTGTTGATGATGCACAAGACTGATATACTGGTCAGAGTTGGTGCTATCACTGATGGAATGAACTGGATAAGGCGTGCAAATTTATCAATATATTTTGAAGAGCAATACCCATAGCTAGATGTTTGAAACTGAGAAGTGGACCGGCGAGATCATACTTGGTAGAAAAAAATGGCCACAAAAACAATTGCAAAGAACTTCATCCGGTCGCGGGTGAGCTTTCTACCTTCTTCAGTATCTCCTCCCACGGAATGAAGTGTGTTATAAAGCGTGACCACCACCAACGAAGAGGGCCATACCATCGCAGTGGGTCTGATGAGAATCGAGTACGTAAATCCGGCCAGCCCAAAGCCGAGAAGCTGGGTAGACAGGATCAAAAGCAATGAGCCGAAATGACCCATATCTTGCTATGCCAGGATCAAAAATGCTGGCCATGTCAGTTCCAATGCGATGGACATCTTGAAGCAAAGCTTATCAGGAAGAAGAGAATTGATTGGAGGTGCTGACATGATAGTAAAGGTCTTGGACCTGAGATAAGCGCAACTCAAAAACAATAAGCTACGGCAACCAGACAAGCAAGAATGATGATAAGGTTATTTACAGCGACAATGTCCCCTGCATAAGCCGCTGACGCAGCGCATCCGGCTAAGACACCTATCAATAAGTGCTCTTTGATGCTGAACTCTCCCGGGTTTAATTCAATGCGAGCAAGCCATCGAGAAGAATCGCCGCTAGCGGAGCTCCACCATCCAAACGGATTCGGGCATCCAATCGAGCGCTTAGGTAAAATCCGAGCGAGTAACTTGCCCACTTTCCGCACGAGTGATTACATTTCAGCCAGGTCCTCAGTATCGATCATTCTTGCAGAGGGTGGGGGCGAGACTGACATGGATAGCTGACAAGGATGATAAAAAATCCCCCGAAACCAACTCCATTCGATTTGAAGAAAAAGATCTGCTGGACCCCTGCGCCTATTCCTCCTAAAATGCCCCCGATGAGCCATACTCTGAATGTCAGGGTGGTGAGCGTTGGGTCATCTGTTTCGGGTACAACTTTTGCGACCATACGCGCCGGATCGTCCTCATCCACCTTTGTCATTAAGTCTTCATTGGAATGATCTTTGGGATAAGCGGCGGAACCAATGCGTGTCGGCGAAGCTGGCCTCAGTTCACCGTGGATTGACAGGGATTGAAGAAGTATGCCGTCTTCGTCTTCTAACTCCTCATCGCTGATGTGATCGGAAACGGGTCTGTAGTCCGCCTTTCCGGATGATATCATTCTGGTTGGAGAGGACATCGGACTATCGCGCGTGCGGCGTTGCATTCGAAACGCTGATCTTCAACACGAACTGATTGAGTCTCGAGAAACCTTTCCTCTACCAAATTTTTCGCTCATTGACTCACCCGGGCCTATTGAGTAAGGATGTGTGGATTATCAAATAGATTCTTATCATCGCTTCTGATAACTTGAGTTTATCAAGCCATCAACTCACGTGAATGTTTGATGAAGAGTCACTCAGGTAGCAGGTTGATTCGAAGGTGAATCCTAGTCATTTGACGTCACCAGATTAATTTCAAACCATAGCAAGAGCGTAAAGAAACCTGGGCAGATTGCCATCAAACCCGAAGGTCCCGACTGACCGTTTTGAAGTGAAACGCGAGTTTTCCCAAATAATAATGCAATCTATGTCTGGTAATATATCGCCAATGGCACTTCGGAAGATCGCTTCGAAAGGTGTCGAAAGGTAACAATCGTATGGATTTCAAAGCAGAGGATGGACCGAATGAGGAACGATGATGGTGGTGCAGGCCGTTTGCCGCAATCGTACTCAAGTGAGCACACTGTTTTTACAAAATACCACCAAAGCTGCTGAGCTGTAGCCTTAGGGTTCACAGGTTGGCAAAATTCAGGTAAGCCTTGAATGGGTGTCACACGGTGGTAATGCAATGGCCTGCAACATAGAGATTGTGAAAGGTCGTGATAAGCCGTGATCCTCACAGCACCCCCTTGCCATTACCAAGCCTTGACAGGCAGCTCATACAAAGGTATCCAATGAAGTTCATCATGTACATTCAAATAAAATACAACATATACAAAAACTAATTTCAAATATCAAATTTATTTACTTAAAGAAGAATGTTCAGGTTTATATTTTAAAAATGAAGCTTTAACATCTTCAACTCCGATTTCTAAACCATGAGTTTCAATACCATAACATTTCAAGATCACTCCATTCCATTCTTCAATCCATTTCCTTAATTCAGCTTCACATGCACTCCAAACTGTATTCATCACAGCTGATGGATTGGCTAAATCATTAAAATGTTTTTCTACTCTTTTGGCAAGTGCTTCGATGGATTTCTTCAAATCTTTTTTATCAAAGGATGAAATCGCTCGTTTTAAGGCCGATTTCGTGTATTGACTATGCATTGAAATCTCACTAGGAGACGTAGTTCTTAATAATTGTTGAATGCCTTCGAAGAAGTCCTGTGATATGAGAGGAATTGATTTGTTTAGTATCTTTTCGTCTGTTGCCCTTCTTATCTTACGTTGGACAACTCACAATCAATCGAGCCAAAGGCCGTCGAAGTACCAAACGGATGTACAAATTCAAATTCTGATCGTACTGTTCCTTGGCTTTTTCCAACCAGTGACCTAATGCCGACACATTGACTTTAGAGGCCGTCGTGACAAAGTGGTGCATGTTTTCTAAAGATTTGTGTGATAAATTGATCGATCGATGTCAACGATCACACGATTCTCGTGACCTCTCAGAGTCCGAAAATGAAGAAACTCACCGATAATCAATGTATGATAGTTCAATCTATCTTTATCTCTGTCTTCTTGATTGCCACCTCCACCTCCCACAGCTGGTGTTTGATCCTCATCATTTTTCGCCATCGTCTGCAATGACTCGAACATAGATTGTACAATCTGACCATAGACTTTGTCTACCAATTTACGGGTCGGATTTGCTTGATCGTCTACTACTTCCATTTGTCGTTCCACTCGAATCACAAAATCCGGAAATGTTGCAATGAACCCAACCACCCCTTTTCGTTTCTTCACCGTCAGTTTGGTTGTTTCAATTGCCTTTAATTGGTCTTTGACGTATTTTTCAAAGAGACTCAATGACTTTCGTTGTTGGACTTCGAGAGTCTTCAACCAATACTCATTTCTGATTTGTTGGGCAGCTTTGATCGTCGTGTCGAGCGCGGCCAGCACACTCACCATCTGCCTGTTAGACACCACAGCCAAATTCCGAGGGAAATGCATAAGAGATCAGCGCCGACCCTTTTGTTCATAGCAAGTTAGAAGAAGCAGGACACTCACAATGGATCTCTAGCGACAAAAGAATCGATCCAATCCTTAATCACACCAGGCAAGAATCCAAAAATCAAATCCATGACACTCAAGATATCCTTGAATTTATTCCCTTTCAGACCACTACCAGCTAATGCAGCTTTCCTAAAATAACCTTCCAAGTCAGCATAATCTGCAAATGTGATCATGTTATCTAATTCATCATCGGCCGATTGAACATTCAAAAGATCTCGAACAAAGTTCTGTTCGCGTTCCAAGTTCTTCAAAACTGATACAGATATGATCTCTAAACCCTTCCCAGCTGTCATCTCTCCTTGACCGGTTCCACCTGAACCTTTCTTATCTTTTCGATCAAATCTTGCTAATGGTTTGCGTGTCGCTGAGACCTTCGCATTAGTCGGTGACTGGATGACTGTTGCGGCAAAAGCTGAAGAGATCGCAACATCAACTAAGTATAAATCATCTTTCTTGATCAATCGGTCCAGAGACTTACTAGCTTCAAGTTCCTCTTCAGTCGGCTTACGAATCTGCGACCGACAAGCCTCGAATAATGCACTGATTTCTTTCTTATGCAAGTCACTAAAGGTGGCAAAGTAAGCCTGGATATATACGCACGCAGGTTAGGAAGGATGAGGCTTTGGTCAAGATTGTATATTTTGCAAAGAGATACTCAACTGCACACAATTGTTGATATCTGGCTTCATCTAGCTCCTTCATGAATAAAGTCAATCCACAATACGTGCCCAAGTACTTCTCTAAAGGCTCGTGCGACGGCAAGCTTAAGTTTGCTATAATTGTTTCGTTGCTCGAGTCTTTCAAAAACTTCTCAGACTATCAAAAAATGATCCCAAAAAGTATGATCGTTTGTCAACAACAAAAGATTGATACTAGCGACTTGATTGAATTCTACAAACCTCATACTTGAACATTACGGCCAGAAACTCGTATACCCGTTTACAGAACTGCTTCGCATCTCGCTTGTATTCATCGACTGGATCGTCAGCAGCAGCTACTGCAGCTGCATTACCCATATCGCGGACCGAGAGGATAGCCTTGTAGAGGATGGTGATCGATTTCTCTAAGTTATTTACACCTTCTGGCTTATCAAGTGGTTCCCGGACTAATGAATCCAGTACATCACGTGGAATGTGGACGGTTTGCTACAAAATCAAAGATTTGGTGACGAGGTTTAGAATTGTAGACAATGATCAATTGAAAAGTTGCCAAGTTGCGTACCATGAGTTCTTCGATTTCCTCCAACAACGATCTTTGATTTGATATCTGGACTTGAAGACCTCTGTTCTGTCCTTCAATATGCGTGACCTCATCGCTCACAAGCTGAACAGACATATATCAGTATTCAATTTTCTTAAAAGATATGATTGAAAGTAAGATATCTTAAGATACTCACATTGAGTTGAGTTCGATACAAGCTTAGCATAGCTTCCATCTTATCTAACTGAGCTAGACCGTCATCGAGACTCTTCCCAATCAAATCTACCCGGTCATCGTTCTCAATTATTGCATGAATCTCAGCTAATTCCAACGCTTTGAGTTCGTTGAGTAGCCTTTCTTCAATCAGATCAACTCCTTCGACCCTTGTTCCAATCATCCTCCACTCAAATCCTTCCAACATTTCTTCAACATTGGCTAGTATATCATGTTGTGCTTCCACTGTTCCTTTGGATGGTTCAGCTTCTTCGCCTTCCTGATTTACCGCAGGTTTCATAATGAAATCTATGTCTTCATCTGCTGGATTTGACGATTTGCCTCTCCGTGGTATTCCTTCTTGTTCATGACGAGATAAACCGGCAGCTGCCAAACTTATTGGTCTCGGTGGCTCTTGTGCTGATTGAGATGAATTGGGTAGTGGTTGCTGTTGTAGAGAGGAACTAGTAGAAGGACGTTCTTCGTTTGTCGAACGAAGTGGAGAACTGATTAACCGGCTGATGGAGGGGGTCACTGGCTCCTTCAGATTATTGGTAGGAGATTTACTTTTGTTGAACTTGAGGGGACGGGGTGAGACCGGTGTCATTTGCTTAAGTCCACGTCGATTGCCGATACTATCACCATCAGTGTCAGGTGTACGAGAACGCTGAGAGCTCGTTTCAAACCGTGGTAAGAGAGAAGATGATGCACGAGAAGGACTTGTATGAGGTTCGACGCTGGTGGCATGCGATGCGACAGCTTCGGATCGAGTCGGAGTGAGTGGGGTGGGCGTACCGGAAGGCTTGATCGAGCTAGCAATTGAATTCGTCTCTGAGATTTGAGCCGATAGGACGGGCTTGCGAGAGCTTGGCTGAGATCGAGCGGCTGATGGCGATGGATGGCCTCCACCGCGGATGACTGGAGCATGAGAAGGACTGGATGGAAACGCAGATGAAGGGATAGCGTAAGCGGGAATAGCTAAATAAAGAACAGTGAGGTCAGCGCTAGTACAGATAATGATTTGATCTATGAATGAAGTGAATTAGGACAGACTGTAGTCATCGTCGGGAAGACCGATCATAGAGGGTAGCTTCCCATTGGCGCATTGACGAAAAGATCGGACGAGTAAGTTGACAAACTCGGCGCGTTCGTACACATCTTCAGCCATCCAAGTGTACGAACGCGAACCGAGTGACAGTTTGAAAGCTGAGTCCTAGGAATCATCGAGTTTCAGTTAAGAGGGTTTGGTAGGTAGGAAAAGCAAGCAAGAAACCCACGTTGATGAGTTCGACCCCTCGAAGATCAATGACATCCCAAGTCTTTCCAATCGAGAAACTACCATTAGAATTGCGTTTAGACTTGTGTAAGAAGACCTGTCCCGAGGGTCCAACTGTGATTTGAGCATCAATCGATGAAGATTAGTAAGAAATTGAGTGTTAGGAGGAATAAGAGAAGAGCTGACCAGCTAACAAGATATAACGCGGTTTCCGTTCACCAGTTGATACATCCTCCCAAGTTTTACAATGAGATATGTAGGATTGGCCAGCTAGAGAACAGGTGATCAAAAGCAGATTATTAGTTTGTAAGATGATTGATCGATCGAGATTTAAGGAGGTATAAGTTAACAGCTTACTTTGACCAGCGCTTCCTTTCGATGAAGAAGAAAAGAGAGAAGTGATGATATGTTTTCTGATACTTTCTGGATCGACTGACATGATTGCGTTTGATGTTCTTGATCGTATAACTCTTGACCGTTTTCTTCATGACCCAAACTGGACTTGTATTTATACCAAAACCTTATCTAAGTATCAACCATCCAGGATCATCCTACGAATTTCAATTTCACCCTCAACTTTCGGTCATAGAATTCCATCTCTGACACTATCACTCTCATCCTCACTGGGGTTGATAGACTTGATAGGACGATAGCGGGCAGGATGACACATGGATTAATGGATATCCTAAAGTCCAACACATGCATGAATCTGTTTGCCCTCCAATGAACAGCGCTCTTCTCTTCCTTAAAATCAAATTTATGTACAGTCAAAACTCCCTAAAGCCATACCATTCTGTGGAATCCAGGGGCTATGGGCTTATAGGGTTTTAGCCTATCTATGGTTTTACTAAAAAAACCCTCTAATACCATAGAAGTATGGCTTTATCAGAAACACCCTCTAATGCCATAGATGCATGGTTCTTTAGAAACAAAAACTCTATCAGACCATGATAATCATAGATTTAGAGGGCTGAGCAAAGAGAACAATCAATCACAAAAGTGAAGAACAGTAAGGGTGACAGAGGTTTATGAACACACATAGATCATCAGGTTGAGGGTAGAGGAGAACAGCGGAAGAAGTCAGTGATGGTAGACTGCTGAGCAGTTAACTCTGTGGTAAAGTATGGGTCTAGCGGGGATAAAAACCACATTTTCCCACTATTTTGGTATGGGTTAAGGGGCTAGAGGGGTTAATCCAAATTTTGGCCTGCACCACAAATGTGGAAACCATACCCTATGGCTTTGAGGGGTTTATGGATTTAGCGAGTTATGGATTTGGAGAGTTTTGACTGTACACCACAGGGCAATTGTTGAGCCAAAAGCTGAGCTCAAAAGTCGTCGTGTCCGAAATTCGGTCAAACGCTGGCCGAAAGCTGAAGTTTCGGTCAGATCTTGACGGTCAGGTGAGACCGGCTGTTTTCTGGCCGAAACCTGAGCTTTCGGCTTGAAAAAAGCCGGTCGGTTGGCTGGTCGATCTGGCCGTATATCAACCAGCCGTATGGCTGTCAAAGGTTGGCCCAAAACCGAGCTTTCGGCCAGCTTTTCAAGCGTTCAAAAAGCTGGCCTTGAGACGGTCAAACAGACGGCCAAAAGATGGGTATGGAGTAGAGTGGGCTCCACACGATTTAAATAAGTTTGAATCACTTGTGACTGTAAGATGTCACAAGTTAATGACGATATAAGGTGAAGTCTGTGATGAACTTCTTGGTAAAGTCCTTATCCACATTCCTTTTGACCTCCATCATCAATCAACATTGCCAGCTTTCTTTCCATCTTTCTCAAGACTCTCACATCAATGCAGAGATGTCCAACCCCACATACAGTATAGCTTCCTCATCATCGCCTCGTCTTCGTCTTCAGCAAATGGAAGCAGTTTTTCTTGAGCTTTCTACTGCCGGACTAGGTAGTTCTTCGCTCTGGAAGAATACCAACAGTCAACTCTCCCGATTCCGATCAAAAGGACCTCGTTATACCAAAGCGTGAGTGATCCGTTTTCAATTTCTTATTGATTTTAATCACACTGATTTCATATTGGTCCAATAGCTTCTACAAGCTTGTCATCGACAAAGACAAACACCGTGTCTGTGTAGGCTTTGCTAGTCGACGAGCGCACACCAACTCCCTTTGAGGCAGAAAGGGAAGTCGTGCGCGCTCGTCCAATAGCTTCTACAAGCTTGTCATCGACAAAGACAAACGACTTTTTGATGGCCAACACACCGCTGAAGATTTAAGAAAATTAAATTTAACTGACTTCAAGCTTCCAACTGAATCACAAGTCGATGCAGCTATTGCTGCCTTACCTCAACACCCCTCTGCAGATACTTAAATTACGTTCTACACATCAACATCATCCATATTGTTATCCTTTCAGATTATCTTTGTTTCATTCTATTACATATGTATCTTTTTTGTATCGCATAAACAATAAAATATGTACATAAATTGCAATTCAATCGTATCAATCAAAATAAAAGCCAGTCAAGAAGCGACTGGATCTGAGCCAGCAGAACGATAATGGTCAAATACCGGCTACAGACCATCAATTGACCAGCAGACAGCTAGTCGATCGATCGATCAAGAGCCCACGCGGATCATCTCAATTGGCTCGAAGCTGGCCGCTTGATTGGCTCACGGCCGTCTTTTGGCCAGCTCACGGCCGCCAGCGAAGACCAGCCAAAAGACGGCCATTCCACTGACCGGTTTTTGGCGGCCAGCCACCACCAAGCAAATCTGGTCTATCGGCGGTCTTTCCCGACCATCAAACGGCGAGCTCAATTGCCCCGTGGTGTACGGTACAATTGGAAAGACACACAGCCGTTTTCACGTCAAGATCAAATCAATCCAGCTTTACGGAGCCTGCGAGCCAAGGTCAGTTTCGAGAATCCAACTCCAGATTGAACCACATGGGTCCTTGAGGTCATATGATCACACTGCGAATATAATGTATTTTTCCAAGGTGAAAAATGATCATATTTATTTTCCAAGATGACTCAGAGTTTACCACAATGCCACTCAGCAAAGCAACCAAAGCTCAAAGGAAGCGGTGCAAAGCTGAAATTGCTCAGAAAGCAGTAAACTCATCACTTGTTGACTCAGAATCAGACTCAGAACCAGTTATCACTTTCATCAAGAACCCAACAAAAACTTTTCCAACAAGCCCAGCCAACACTATCTGGAGTCTACCTGAAGAATATCCAGACCGTGATCCAGCCTTCAATATTGAAACAGACATTGAAATAGACACGGACAACAAAAACAATAATGATGCAAACAATCAAATTGTTCATACCATTCAACAAAATTTTTGTGATTCTGATGATGAAGACATGTGCAATCAAGCTGTTGTCAATGCAAATCTTTGGCCAGTCTTCCTTCAACGTGATGAATTGAAGCCCAGTGTTGGTAGGTGTATCAACAAAGATGGTGTTGTGATGAAGGGCTACAAAACTCCGATTCAACACACTGACACAAACAACCCAAAGTTAATCTCAAGACCCATCGCCAAACAGACCAAGCCATATTGCAAGAAGAAGATGAAGAAAGCTCTTGGAAATGGTCCCTTGATTTCTAGCTATTTCACTCAATCAACTACAATCACCCACACCTCATCAAATCACAGCTTGTATGACAAAAAAGATGAAGAAAGTGATAGTGGAAAAGAAGAGCATGTTGACAATATTGACAATAATGAAGACACTGTGTACAATGACATGATTGATTCAAGAGTTCAGCAATACCAAGAAACTCGGAAAATAGCCCAAGGCCCAGTTGAAAGACTTCAGAACATCAATGATCAGTGGGAGGAGCTCAACTCTGCTTTATGTCAAGCTACAGTTGATTATGAACGTAAACACAAAAGCAACCCTCAGTTTACTATCCCAGAATTCGAGATTGTTGAGCTACGCAAGTTCAACTTACGCCGCAAAGAATTATCAATTGCAAAAGCCAAGTTGCCAGCAATCACTGCATCAATCTTAACCGCACAGTCTTTGTGTTGACACTTACCTGAGACCAGACGACCAAAGTTCATCAGTGGAATTGGTCAAGCCTGGAAGATTTGAGTTCAAGCAGCTCATGTTGTCAGATTCAAAGAGCCCTCATGCTCTAAAACTGGAACTGCCAAATACCAAGCGCACCCTTTTCTACTGGACAACAAAAGTATCTGTGAGGAGTTATTGAAGTGGTCTGTAACACAAAAGCCTGGAGATGTGAGTTTTCACTCCCTTTCCTAATGTCCATACTATCTCTTACAAATTTCTCAACTTTCCTTCAGGTGACTCCAAGGACATTCCACAAACACACAAACAATGAAGTTTTACCTTGGTTTGTTGCCAATAAAACCATCTCACTAGTTACCGTGTACCAATGGATGTACAAACTGGTATTTCAATCTCACCAATATCACAAATCTATCTACTATGATGGTCATGATCAACCCAATGTTGTTGAATATTGGAACAAGTTTATTCAGGAGGTAGCTGAAATAATATCCCGATCAATGAAATACATTGGTGACCAACTTGAGAAGTTGATCTTACCTGAAGCAGGGGCACTAGGTCACAAAAAACAGACGGTCTTTGTTTATCATGGCAAGTCCACAATCCATGCAAACAAACAATCAGCAGTTCATGGCTTCTACCTCATACCTCTGACCTTCAATCAAAAAGTAACAGGCGACTAATCCACATTTCCAACTTTATATTAGAGACTAGCGGTTGGTTGGTATTGACACCCTTACAAAAAGAAGAACTCAAAGAGATGAACAGCAGTGTTATATTTCCACCCGTTGATGATGATGCAGTTGTCATAAATCTGGGCGCAAAAGGAGACAAGTGGTGGGATATGGAGCAGCTCATAAATCAAGTCAAAGAATCAGTGATTCCAATCTTTAACCTTTTGCACCCAAATACCCAGGGTGTATTTGTATTTGACTGTTCATTGGTTCATGAAGCCTATGGTCCTACCGCTCTCCGTGTTCAGAACATGAATGTTGGGCCAGGCGGCAAGCAAGCAAAGCCTTGGGACACCATCATACCATCTGACAATCCCAACATACCAGCCGAGCTTTGGGGTAAGGCACAATCAATGGTCTTCCCCTCGGACTATCACAACACATCATTAGCTGGAAAGGCAAAAGGCATTTGTATTGTCCTTCAAGAACGTGGATTATGGAACCATTACCATACTCAGGCCTAAGTCTCGGCAAGAGCTTTGTAGGGCAGTGTGCTGATTGTAAGAAATCTAGTTTGGCTCAAGATGTGAAGCAAAGAGCTACACATCAAGTGAAAGAAGCCAAAGCGAATGGATTCTTCATGGGACCCAATCAGTCTTTGCTTAACCAGGACTGTGAAACACAGGAGGCTCTGCAGTCTCATGAGAACATCAATACAACCAATCCGGCTCCAGCTTCAAATGTCATTATATGCTGTGGTCACAAAGCTCTTAGCCAGCAGTTGGATTTTCTCAATGAAAAGCCACTTCTTCAAATGATAATTGAAGATGCTGGTCATACTTGCTTGTTTCTTCCTAAGTTCCACTGCAAACTGAACCCAATTGAAATCTTTTGGGCCTTTATCAAACATTGTAAGTCACTTTCTCTTGCTGATCTTCACTTATCATAAACACTCAGTTAACCTTTTTACTTGCATCAGAATATCGGCAGAAAAGTACGAGTGCAACAACATTTGCCCAGTCAAAGGCTCTGTTTGAGACGGTGATGAAATCATGCCCAATCTTGGTGATCCGCAAGTACTTCCGCAAGATTGATTGTACACATCAACACTTGAACCGCTCCAAAACGCTTTGAAATTTGGCCCAATTTCATATTGTATTGGAGTCAACACTATGGATCGCTCCGCTCTGCAATTGATGTTTATGGAAAAAAAAATCTTGCAAAGTTTCGGAGCGGAGAAATTGCTATTTTTTGCTCCGGAACTTTGCTATATAGCGCATTTTCGCGCTGATGATGTGAGAGCGTAGAAAAAAAGGTCATATTTCAAATCTATGTGTATGTGACCAAGCCTATAGGGCTGGGACAGGTAGGAGAGTAGATAGAGTGTCTTTAGAAAAGGAACAATATGAGAAAAAAGAAAAACTAGTATAATAAAAGAACTCAAGATGTGAGTTGAGTAAGAACAAAACTTGTATAAAAAAGAAAAATTGAATAAAAGTAAAATAAAGATCCCTCTTTATTTTCAGCCTTTAAATTTTTACCTTCTGATTTTGATTTGGTCACCAATGCCCAAACTTGTCTATTCTCATCTAAAGCTTTATTATGTGATCTAAAGAGTTCTTGTTGTTTGTTCAAAGTGGTCAATGATTCACATTGGAATAAACAAGTTTGAGAGATTGATAATTGATAAGTGATTTGATTGAATTCGGAGATTAGTGCTGATAAAGTTGAGTTTGGTTGATTAGCATTTTGAGATAGTATAGATTGAAGTGTAATAAGTGGTGGGATTGGATTGGGATTGGAATTTAGATTGGAATTTAGATTTGGATTTCAGTGTTGATGTTGATTTTGATTTGGAATTGAATTTGAGTTAGTGATCATAGCATTTGACATTTTGATGGTTTGTCATGTTCCATTGGTCGTGTTGGTTGTGGAGGTGGCAATCTAGGATCAAAACAGGTGAAGATGGGTGGCGGGAGGCGTTGATCTAGTGAAGGGGTGGAGTGACAACCCTCTACCCACCTCATGGGTCAGAATGTCTGCTATATATTGGATATATCAGAGAGCGTGAGGCCCCAGTCCATTTTGTAGCGGTCACTCCGCTATGGAAAAAATTGGCTCTTGAGTTTGGTGTGCGGGTACTGCTATAGCCTGCAGAGGCTATAGCGGGTGCCAAAATTGCTCCAAAATTGCTCCAAAATTGCTCCAAACCCGCTATTTTGAGCGGAGCGGTTTGGGTATTTTACACATTCTGCCTACATGATAGTTCTTTTTCCTGATTTCATCGTTTCTCCCAATCACTACTGTTTACAAATTCTTCTCTTTGATCAGGCAAGGATATTCAAGCCTTCAAACCGCTCAGCTGGTCAAGAAGTACAAGTTGCATTGGTCGATCCCAAGAAACACAGCCTTGTCCATTGATGTGCTTACATCATAAGGCTCTCAATCTTTTGATGTTTCCTTTCTTCATATTCTAACACTTCTTAAAAATGATTGAGCTTATCATTCTCATCTTTTCTTCACAATATCCATCCATGTGATCTTGGGGCAGCCTTGTCTTTGTAAGAGAACACTCAAGGACTTAACTAAGGTTGTTTAGGTACTTAATTAAGGTTGCTTAAGTGATTATGTACCTAGGGCAGTACATCTATTAGCATAATACAGCTTGTACATATGCTTAGGTCCCAAAATGTGGGAATTTTGGTGAAAAAAAAAACTTCTGAACCGTTGAAATTTTTTGACTTTTTTTTGTATTTTTGGAACAAGCTCATTCAGCCTGTTCCATAATTATGCTTGTATGTAGGGTAGGGTACCTTTGACTTGGGGTAATACCAGGTCAAAGTTGAAATTTCAATTTGGCGGGCAGGGGTAGTAGGAATCTGCCTTTAGCAACTGTATGTCATTTGGCAAGCTTTGGTCTGGTTGATGTTGTTGAGCAGGCATTTGGATGGTTTATACCTTGATATCTTTCTGAGAAATATGAAGTTGTTGAGTCCTTGGTTTTGTATCTCTTGCAAGCTTGAGTGATCTTGAACCACCTTGATGATACATATGTGGCTAAATGCTCAAAACCATGCTTCATGTGGTCTATACACAGGGGGGGAAATAGAAGCTCACATAGATGTGAGCAGAGAAAGTTTGGAGGTTCCTCCAAGATTTTTTCCAGTTTGTTTCCAATTTTCTCCCAATTTTCCTCCAGTGTTCTTTCAGCTCATCATCTGATTAAATGGCCAGCATGGCCTGAGCAGATGAGTTAGGCCTTCCTCAGGCTTTATCTCTTAGCCAAGAAGCCTGAGGGAGGGCTAGCTCATCTGCTCAGGTCATCTCAGGCCCTCCAATGCTCAGCCTGCACAGTCACATGACCAAATGTGATTGAGTGGTGAGAGACCCACCAAATGTGCAAAATAAAATGGGAACCAACCCTTTGGATAATCCTGATCCCAGGAATGGCACTGAGGAATAGGTGAGCAGCTGAGTTGAACTGCGCGGCCCCTCAGCCAATACTCAGTGACATCCTTTGGATACTTCTGATCCCAGGAATGCCACTGAGGACTAGGTGAGCAGACTCTCAGCCAATACTCAGTGACATCCTTTGGATCCTTCTGAAGGTGATTCTGAGTATACAGTGATGTACCAGCTGGGTCCTGAGCATTCATCCGTGCTCAAGAGATGCTCATCCAAGATGAAGATGAGCATGCTTTAGCAAACTCAAGCAATACCCAAGTATCACAGGCTGAGCACGTTGGCACCACCAAAATGGTGACTTGAAAGAATCTGCAGGAAATTGAAACATTTTTGGAGTTATCAGGAAGGTACCCTCTGCCCGCATCTATGTGAGCTTCTATTTTTCCCCCTGTGATAAAGTCCCTATCACTGTTCAGATAAATCAAGATCCTTCATCAAGTTCATCATTCTGTATCACTCTTGGCTTGTCTTAGCCTCCGTCATTGTAACACCCATCATCTGTATCGGGTGTGCATAGCTCAAGGATAAGTTGAATCCTGATTATCCCTGGTTTGCTTTTTGCTGCACCTAAATTCTGATGTAAATAATAAGTCAGATTCTTACATAGGGTTTTTTCAGTTTGTGCAGTCCAAGACCCTTGATCATTTGATTCTCACACCGTGTCCGGGTAGCGTTCGCTTGTCGACGAGCGCGCACGACTTCCCTTTCTGCCTCAAAGGGAGTCAGTGTGCACTGGTCGACGAGCAAACCCTACACGGACACGGTGTCATATGATGCTGATCATCTACTGGGTGTGCTACAGCAATAAAATACATATTCCTTGTGCTGTCTCACTACAAAACAGGACACACTTACAATGATCAAAGATCCAGATGAGTTTTGGAAGAAGAGAAAAAGACGGGAGCTTACAATGATTGATGTAAATTGATATAATGACAAAAAGTGTATTGATGAAAATGAATGGATCAATCAACAAAATTGATCCAAAAAGATTGATGTAAAGGATGGAAAAACTTGCCATGGTTTTGTCCAGTTTGTTGTTGTGATCTTATACATTTATGTGATGCAGTTGATGAACCTCACAATTGATGATGCAATAACAAGCCTTATTTGATTGATTGAAGTGGTGATGTTTAAGTGGGTGGTGACAGTCTGCAGAGCACCTTGGATGAAGGCTTTTTTCAGATTGGTCAAATATATCATGATATGTGGTCTATTATATTGATAATATATTGTTGCTGAACACCACCTCTTTCTCAGAAGTCATAGAAGATTTTGAATGAAAAAGATTTTTTTGCTTTGGTGGTCTATAACATGTTATGTATAGAGTTTTACAAAGTTTGCCAAACAGACCCTAGTAGTTTTGTAAATTTTGATTTTTAAACTGAGACAAGGGAACTTGAGAATTTCAGGGAAACCATTTTCTTTCTTCCATCCTAAATCTCCAATCTCTTTGAGACATATGAAAAGATACATAGTCAACTTGATGAAAGAATGACTATATTTTTTTGTCTTATAGGAATGGATATCTTCATGTGCCCGTCTCCGAAATCAATTATCCAAAAGCCCTTTTTGACCCATTCCCATCTGTCGATACTTGTACCACCTTCCAGGAATAACATCGGAAAGGCATCAATTAAAAAGTGTAATCTGTAGAGCCATACTGAATAAAGATGTATGAGCAGTTTGTAATGTAAAAGCTCACTACACATCAACATCAGTTGACCTCCAAAGATAGAATTGAAGTCCAAAGAGGTGGGAATATCATTCCAAATCTGAAATCATCTGTAAGATAAGCTTTTGTTGATGTATATGTACAATTATATTGTGATTCATACTTTTGATGTTTGGCAAAGGGGTGCACAATAACCACAGTGCAAGTTCTTGACTTCAATGTAACAATGTACTGGTTATTGACAGCAGAAGTTTATGTGCACCTTCTTGAAGTATTGTGCCAATATCAAGGACTGCCCTGGAAGACTTGTGTCATCAATGCCATAGCTGATGATCTTCTGAATCCATTCCCCTCTTTCACGCCAGATGGACAGTGAATTGATCGACGGCAGGTCAGCCAAAGTCGCATGCATCAAGTTGGAAATTGACAATGATCAAGGACAGGTCGGGTCCATATGTATATTCCGAGTAATAAGACGCATACAAGCTGGCCAGCCATCCAGCTTATGATGCCATATCTGATGGCTTCTCGTGTCGGTTTGATCTTACGAAGTTCAACTGTAAATGTACTTATCGTACTTAGACATCCGCAGAAACCGTCTTTTAATCCTTGGAGAGAGCCGCACAATTCGGCATTTCTTGAGGCTTGTGGTAAGAGTTGTAGGAGGGTAAAGACTGCTAGGAGAGCAGTAGCAATGAGATTGGCGAGAAAAGTTCCAATTGGAAATCCGTTTCGGGTTGAAATCGGCAAAGAATTGAGTTTGGATAGATGAAACCGTGTCAAGGTGCCAATGGGAGCAATGAGTAAGCTGTAAGACACAGGCCCGCGCCACCAGTGCGGTCCATAGAAAAAGATGAACACGGTACAGATCCAAGCTACCGGGCCAATGAGGAGAGTAGTCCAGCGTATGAAGTAGGATGCGACGCGATCGGGGGAAGATGACGAAGACGAGGAAGGACCTTCAAAGAATGAGCGAATAGATGGTTCGATGAGATTTCCAAGCTGGATGCCGCATTGGATGGAGATGATGCTCATAGCCACTGTGATATAAGTTTGGTTGACGCCATCTAAGAACTGTTTGTATGACAAGGACTAGCTCTAATTAGTCAACGTTATCGTTTCCTGAAGCCAAAGTGTTCTCAGGAGTGACTATAGCGCAGAGATACGAACACTATGAAACCGGCTTCGATGTGGACCCGAACTATTACTGAAAGCCTGAAAGACTTGTATCATCCAAGTACTAAAGGTGGTAACTGAGCCACAATAACCGGTAGTCAGACCTAAATATAACAAAGGATGACTTGAGCTCAAAGTCAGTCGCGGACTCGATCGTCCAATTGCGTCGTGCGAAATCGATTTACATCCTATCCAACGTATCCTTCAATCTCAATCCCACCCCCATCACGAGACATCCTACAACTTGAACCAACAGCACGCTAAACACACTCTTCCCCTCATATTCTCCGATGGCATTCAATCCAAGTCGAGTTAAGAGCCCGCAGATTGCCCACCAAATCAGGATAGAGTGTGTCTCCAATTTTCGCGATGTGATTGGAGTAGTCTTATTTTGTTCGGGTGGTGGCTCATCACCTTGAGCTTTGAATGGACTTGGTAATGGTCGTGTAGACTCTGAAAGAGGCCCAACGGCTTGGGGTAGGGTTTTCGTCGAACTTCGAGGTGAAACTGGACAGTGACTTGCGCTTGGTTGCTTCATGTTGATTTACAAAAGTTTTGGTTGATGCTCACGAAGCTTCACTCCCGGTTCTTGGGGCCGGGTCGCAAGATGAGCTGACCCGGCCTGACGCGGGTCAAAACGAGCAGACCTGATGATGTCAGCCTTGAGTTGGTTATTTGGTGTCAGATATTCTTCGGTGACCAAGATCTCAAGTTTGGTGAAGAATCAGATGCAAAAACGTGCTCTGGTAGATAGGATGTGACGTCTCATGAGTCTCAACAGGGAACCGCACAGAAAGGCCAAAGGAGAGAACTGAAGGACATCAGATACAATGTACATATATCTATTGTCCTTTAAGAATTTTAGGAAAGAAAGGGATTGCAAGCCAATGACTTTGCTGCCGTCTTTCAGCCTGGACATTTGGTTATACACGATGAGATTCAGAAGCTATCCTAAACTTCAAGTGTCTCCTTCGCAAGATCCATCTCCACGTTGGCATTCCATGACTCGTCATATGTTATGTTGCTCGACATGAGGTAACCTTTTGGTTCGATGATTAACAAAAACTCTGTTTGAGCTGGTGTCTGAATTCCGGCGATGAGACCTTGGGTGCTCAACAAACGTCTCACGATTACGAGAGTAGTCATAACACTATGTATCAGTAGATTCATATCTCTACTCTGGTGTGCTGAATGCTCTGCTCAGTATCGCATATTGATCCTCAGCCCAATACAGATTTACAAACATCCAGGATAAAAAACTTCAAACAATACCAAGAACACTGACCGAGTCGAGATTGAGGACGTCCCGGAGATCTGCGGCGAAAAGGATAACTAGGGATAACTTTAAGACTTGTTTAACGCGATACCCGGGTATAGAAGACATGCTTACCCCGTATCCTTCATGGTTTGACCCAAGATGGAGCATACTTCAAGGTCATTGTTGTGGGTTGCTATCACCTCAACAGCTTTGAGCGCAATGGACTAGTATGAGTTCGCGCCTCAGGTTATGAATCGCAAATCGTAAGATCTAATTTAGGATACAGATACGTATCACGTTTTAGATCCAGTTGGTGATCCACGTTCTCCTATCAGTCCTTGCTGCTTCACAAGATCCGACCTCTCCATTTTACTGTTGATGGGCATTCAGGAATCAGCACCTCCTTTGAACTCTTATTTACAGTCAACTCTCCATAAAGGCATACCTCTTATGGGCATAATCCCTCTAAATGCATAGGTTTTTACAGGGTTTTTTCCCGCCAAAATGGGATTTGCCAGCCAAAACAAGATTTGTAAAGGCATATTCCTCTAAATGCATAAGAAAACTGCCCGCCAAACTGTATGCCATTAGAGAGAGTTGACTGTATACCGATACGGAAGCCGTGCCAGCGCTCACGCTTGGATCCTCGCCATTTGATACTAACTTCAAGATACGATATACAGCTGGGGATCACTCAATTCAAATTCACAATCCTGGGGACTGAAGGGGGGAGAATTATGATCAGACCATTCAGCTTAATACGAATCATCATCTGGGTCTCAATCATCAGCTCAATCTTCATGGGTTGTATCGCACCAAGGCCAGATTGGGTAGCTAATCGACTAGGGAACGGGAGGCTCTCTCACATGCTCTCAAACTATTGGCCGGTCCGAGCTTTCAATATTGCTATGAATGGAGGCTTCCCTAAAGCCGATCGTAGTCTATCCACCGAATTTGGAGATACCGATAATCTCATTGGCGCGTCACAAGATCTCAAGAAAGTAACTTCAGCCGTAAAACCAGATGACCTCAGTGCACAATCACTCAAAACTAAACACCTGAGTGCATCGCAAAAGCGTCTACGGCAGAAACAAACCCACCAGGATGAGGCGGTGATGACTGATTTCAGAAGGAATTCGTAGCTGATATGGATACCGAAGATGGTATCAGGTGAGAAACAACTACTCGTCTTTCAATAGCATTATCAATCTTAACAGCTCCTTTATCTCCGGAAAGATATAATGCTACTTTAGGTCGCGACATTGAAGGAGAGCAATCGGGGTTGGAGAAATTGTCGGCGGGTGTGCATCAAGATTCGCAAGAAGAATACTGCATGACGAGAGAGGGAGCGATGAGAAAGACGAGGGGGTCAAAATTTACCAATTTGTTTTAATATAATCTAATCTTCACTTTAACTTGTGGATCGTTTAGCAGGCGGTTTGACCCGTTCTTTTATGGCTGATAGAGGAAGGAAGAGATTGGCTTAAGGTCAAAGCAAACATCACACCCAACAATTTAATGCAAGAAGATTAAACCTTGTAAAACAATTGGAAATCATCATGTAAGCAACCGCTTGAAGTTACACACCACTGGAATGCGATCAACATAGTCCAAGCATGTGACCCATTCACGCTGAAGTTGGATATAAGCTTAGCCCCTCAGCAAAAAAACTTGGCGTCATGATAAATCAAGACTTGGTATTTAAGCAGGAGATGAACTTTGAGCCCAAAAAAGGAGGTCTACATGCCCTTCACAAATCTGTTTCTCCTCCCTGATACCCAATCTAACTACATTCTGAATCATGAAGTGAATTAGAAGTAACCCATACATAGTGACTGTGCAGTATCACATTGTAGCAATGTAGCTGCAATAAGTGCCCTTTAAGAAAGCTTCATTAGATATAGTGATTGTGTCAGATTTACGTGGCTAAAGATCGATTGTGTCAGATAAACTCACGTGGTGACTGGTTGGGCTAATTGGTCAGCGACATGGATCCCGAACCAAAATGATGTTCCAGATTTCCTGTTTGAAACAGATTTTTAGTCAAATGAATCCTTGAGTGCTAAACCTTTTAACTGATAGGCTGCAAAGGTGATGCAATAATAAACATCATGATTTCAACTCATGGCACAGTCTTGATAGTATATCACAAATTTGAACATGTTGGGCTATTTATAAGTATAGGGTCTTCCGCTTACTTTTCAATGTCACAAACCTCCACAACAGTCCAAATGATCCTTCATTTGCTTGCCCGTCAGGTAGCAGCCTTTCAATTTCAGCCAAGCACATCGGCACATCTGGTTTGCATGTCATCGAAAGGCCTCCTAAGAAGGCAAACCTTATGCGCCATAAAGGAATGATTCAAGTACAATCATCACTGGCTGGTAGTGAGTAAGATAATGTCTATACCATACAACCAGAAAGCTTTGTAGGACGTGGTCTTGTCAGTAAGAGGACCCTGACAAGTGAAACAGTGGAGAGAAATGCTGCGACATGTGGTGCAGAACAATCGATGATTGGTTTGAACAAGGAAACTACAAACAAACTGAAAGAGTTTCCTCCAACAGCAAATGCGTTTGACACACAGCTCATTTAAGTGTGGATAAAGAAAATCTGAATGAAAAGAGATAAGCTATACAAAACAAAACACAGAGAAGAGCCATGATGTACCAGTTTACTTGATATATTATCTTTTGTTTCGATATTTGTTATCGTGTATCATTCAATGTTCACAGATTGTTCACACGATTCAAGTTTAGTCTCCAGCCTCGTCCGCCTTGGGAGAAGATGCTCCATCTTGGTTAGAGCCTTTGGTAAGCTGCATCTCGGGTGGTGGTTCCCTGACCTCGTCAAGCAGTTGGTTCCTTGTGACCCGCGCACTTGCTATTGACGCTGGGTCCTCATTCAGCACTACGCTAATGCCATCCCATAGTGGGTCCCCAAGATCGTCAACGGGAGGCTGTCCATACATCTGATGAAGTCAAGGCATTGTCAGCTTCCGTTTTGTGTATTTGAAATTCATAGGGAGCGTGGACATACTCTGGGACGACGCTTGCGAAGCGTCCGGGATTGAGCGATTGGATTGAAGTAGGCTGCTTTCGCATGGCCCGACTTGCCGTCATCGAAGACAAGAAGATATTGATCCAAATCTCGCTGTTGACTGACCTCGTACTCTCTGACAAAGTGTAAATTGTGAGCCTGCTGTGAAGTACGAGAAAAAACTATTTGTAAGCCTAAGATCTCGTATTAATCGCAATAGAAGATAAGACCTACTTGTTCATCGGGTTCAGGGTTTGGATCAGACACCGGATCCAATACCCCCTCGTCTACTGTCTTTGTCTCCAATTTCAGTTTTTTGTACCGGTGTACATTCTCAAGATCATCAGATAGATAGTAAGCCAATCGGCTATCTGCTTGAATTGGCGGTACAGGTCTGAGGATCGCATGATCGAGACGCGGGTCCACTTGTTCAAGCTGCACATTCAAACAGACAATTCAACGTAAGAATTTGAACTGTGCATGGAGGATAAACCAAGGGGACTGACCAAGGGGTTGGACAAGACCTCCTTGTGATCGGTGGGATTTTCTTGAAAGCGGTAAAAGTCACAGGTATTGGCCCATATTGACTCATTAGGCATGAATTCAAACGAATCGACAGCCTTCAAATGTGGCTTGGTCGGATGCTTGAGTGATTCAATTGGCTGTTGAATTGTTTCAAAGGAAGCGTGTATGTCGGCCAGCCTCTCGGCCTGTGTTTTTGGGACGATGGGCTCGTGTTGACGGCCTTTCTGCGCGCTGGTAACAAATTGATCGCATCATAAGAGGCCCAAATTAGCTCAATCTCGTGCAGCGTGATGTATATCTTGATGACCAACCTTCCCTCCCGAGGTTTCTGTTGAGTTTCATTGAAGTACTCCGTGCGCCTCAGCCAAGCCACGTCAACTTTTCTGTTAGCACCACTAGGTGTCGTGAAGAGTGGAGAGCCTTTTGGTACAGGAACATGATGAGAAGCGTGAATGCTGGAGACGGCAGGGTTTTGACCAGCGCCATTGATGATTGAAATTGATGCCCCTTGGACTGGCGCTGGATCGACCAGTAGTGCACAATCATCTGGGTGCAGTTCTGTTTTACTCGGGCTAGAATCGTGGCATATAACTACCGATAGGATAGAGGTAAGTGGATATGATGAAATTGAATGAGCACCTTCTGGTTTAATTTTTTGAAGCAGGCATCGAGAGAGAAACGGCTATACCCTTGCGATCACCTTCCCAATATGTGCCCAATCCGAAAGTACCATCAGATTCAATCCCCAACTCAATAGTCATTCCTAAGTCGGCATCTACCAGAATAGGTATCTCCCTCTCGTTTTCAAGGTGTGCGAGGAATCGATAGCCAGCATAACGAGCTGGGTCCGTGGGAATATGCAAAAGTTTGGGTGGAAATGGTGGGGGAGGGAAAGGATTAGGATAACGTTGTCGGATGAGTAAAGGGCTTGCTGTCCTATAAAATCAAGATGAGAAAGTTTTAAATATTAGCGCCCTTGTCAATCAATGATGGGATTAAATAGAAACTCTGCTTACGACTTCTTGGACGACATGCTGAAGCTGTTGAAGTGAGAAGATAACTTGAGCAAAGTGAGGAAATATCGACCAAGTTACAACTTACGGGTCGCCAAATGGTGCGCCGAGGTCATGCGGGGCTTTGTAGGGTCATTCGGAGCTTTTTCTACGAAGCCCCGCATGACCTCGAGTCAAGATTAAAGTTTTTTATAGCATCAGAGTTCGGCTCAGCTTTCTCATCTCACCTCAACAACCTTCAACGTACCTCATTTCTTAGCATTTCTTGTATCGTCAAAAACTCAACATCATGAATTCCTGCGAAAAACCCTGGCTTGAAAACTTAAACTCTGCACAAAGTAAAGCAGTCGAGTCTGTAGCAAATGGAAGCCTGCAGATCCTTGCAGGCCCGGGCAGTGGTACTTCCTCTGCAACTTTTATACAACTTGCAAGACAGCAAAACTAATACCAGTCGGCTCTTCAGGAAAAACTCGTGTTCTCACCTGTCGCGTAGCCTATCTCATCAAAAACACTGGGATTGATCCAAAGGATCTTGCAGTAGTGACATTCACTAACAAAGTTTGTACTCTTGCTCAACGTTCAGATTGGCTATCAACCATCATAGCCAACATCCAGCCTAACTGATACTTCGTCGGTGTTTTTTTGTCTCATCTTACGTAGGCCGCCAATGAGATGAAGAATCGGCTATACGTCCTTCTTGGTGCAAAGCTAGCCAATGAGATAGTCATGGGCACTTTCCACGGTGTTTGCGTCAGATGTTAGTCCTCCGATATCGCTAATTCACCATCGCACAGAATCTTACCTCATGTCACCTCCCTAAGTTTTGCGCCAACACGGCTCCAAAGTTGGCTTGAAGGCGAATTGGGTGATTTGCGATCGCAAACAGCAGCTTGCGTATTGCAAGCATGTGCTGAAGGATCCAAAGGTCAAAGCTCGAATGGCTGGATCGGTCCTGCTTAAGTTCACCGATGAATCATTGTTGGACTATGTCTCCAAGAGAAAATCGAAAGGCGAAGCCTTTGAGGCATGCCAAAAGACCAAAAAAGATCCATTCACGAATGAACTCTTCGAGTAAGTCAATCTGCTCGGCTTTTGCATACTCAATCATGATGGCTAATCATTAGTATTTGAACCCAACTAGCGCCTATAATTCTGCCCTAAGAGACGATAATTGCTTAGACTTCGATGATCTACTCACTTACGGGTTCGTTCGACATCATATGTACACAAGGCTTCATCTACCAGCTCATATAGTTGCATCTTTTGCCTGTATCAGCGAACGACTGTTTCGGTGCCATCCTCAAGTCATATCTTACATCAGACATGTATTGATTGACGAGTTTCAAGATACAAACGTGGTACAGTATCAGATGATGAAACATATGGCATATCGTGGTGCTGTCACCATTGTCGGTGACCCTGATCAAGGTATATATGGTTGGCGTAGTGCCGAAGTCGGAAACTTGATGAGAATGAGGGAAGGTATGGTGATCAGCTACCTATGGTCAAGCGTATTTCTCATATCTGACTCAATCCGTGTTTATAGATCTCCCACAGACTAGAGTGATATGCCTTGAAGAGAACTACCGCTCAAGCTCGCTCATCCTAAATGCATCTCTTTCTGTTGTGCAGCAAGGTATTATTCTCTGCATCAGAAAGTGAAGCATGGATCAGATTTTGATGAATGCCTCTCCTCTTTATACACAGATACTCAGAGGATTGACAAGAGTCTGTTCACTTCTCATCCAAAGGTTTCACTTCCAGTCCTGCAAGCGTTTCGTAAACCGCCAGATGAATCCGAATTCATTGTCCGCGAAATTCAGCGCCTTATTGCTCATACTGGCGGCCAACTGAACTTTAATGACTTCAGTATCCTCATTAGGTATGGTGCTCTCAGTCGAAATGTTGAAGCTGCACTCCAAGCTGCTCATATTCCAACACGCATGGTCGGGGGGGTTAAGTTCTTTGAGCGAACTGAGGTCCGCTCATCCATCTCGTTATGCAATACTCGTTATTTTTTGACTGATTCCGTGCGCCAGGCAGGTTAAAGACATTATTGCATATTTGCAACTTGCCGACAATCCCATGTTTGTACCAGCGTTTGACAGAATTGCCAATGTTCCCGCTCGTGCCATTGGTAAGTAAAATTTCGAGCTGCCTGTTGCTGTCGACGCAAAGTTATGTCTACTGACGGATAAAACAGGCGCAGTAACTATTAAAGCCATAAAAGAAGCAGCTAAAGCTTCGGAATCAAACCCAATGGAGATCATGAGACGAGTAGTCAGAGGTGACTCTTTCCCTGGCTTAAGTCAAACGCACAGATCCAAATTCAAGAAATTCTTGTGTGTGATTGGCAAGATTCAGAGTATGGCCAGGTCGGTGAGTACCTTTTGTAGCTGGAGGTGTGATCGTTCCTTGAAACAGCTTCCTCCTTTATCTCACACTTTTGTTTGTATTAAAGGGCTCTTCGATTGTCGAGATTATTGACACGCTGATAGCACAAGTTAACTACGTGGCACATCTGCAAGCCCCTAGCTTGTCAGATGCAGATGAGCGACTCCAGAATGTCGAAGAGTTGAAGGTAGGTGGTAATTTGTGAACTTCGAAAATGACTAGTGTCTTACTTCTCGGTGTACCTCCTTTTAGTCGTTTGCTCTCCATTTGGAAGGTGGAAGCTCACCGTCTAGCTCGCAGCCCACGCAGTCTGGGGAAGACACCGATACTCTTGATTGGAAGGTTCTCGGAAACGATGATGAAGCATTGGCTGATCTTGAGTGAGCAGCCTTCTTCACAAGACAATATCACCAATGGAGCCAACACTAAAGTTATAAATCCCAATAGGATAGAACCGCTCAATTCGGACGAAGAGCCTACGGGTTTACGCAGATTTTTGACAGAGTCTATGCTGTCTACCGACACTGAAGCCGAAGAAGGAAAAGCAAACAAAAACGCGCCAAAAGTCACCATTTCAACGTGCCATGCCTCGAAGGGTTTAGAATGGCCGGTTGTATTTGTCCCTGCTGGTAAGAACGAGCTATACATCGACAATATATAGTTTGCATACCACGCATTTCTGATGTGATGTCGGATACAGTGGAAAATGGTATATTCCCTTTTTATCGGTGCAAAGATGAAGAATCTGAAAAGGAGGAACGGTGCGTCATCATTTGCATCATGGGCTTTGCATGTTAAGACTAAATCCAGCATGACTGCAAAACAGGCGACTATTGTTTGTTGCCATGACTCGGGCGCAAGGTCTTTTGTACTTGAGTCATTGTGGTCAACGTATGGCCGGAGGTAATTGCGACTTCAATTACTAAGTGACTCCAATATCAATTAATCTTTGGAAATTGTTTCACAGCGGAAACCCGAAATCAAAGTATCTCTCCTTTTGTTTCGTCACTGACAACCCAAACTACAACTACAAAATCAAAATCGTCAAATAATGCAGTGTTTACTTCGAAGCGTCCTATGTTGGATGAGACTGTGCGGCAGGAACTTTCGGATGTTCTTAGTCGACCAATGCCTTCGAAGCAGGATGTTACTACTGCAATCGAAAAGTAGTGAGTTTCACGAGACCGATTGAGGGTTTCCAGATCCTAGTGGTGAAGGTCGCTAACCTGTATCAATGTAGCCAGCGTATCGCAGGAGTTGAAGCTCAAACTTCAAATCTCCAGGGCTCGGACAACAGCCAATCGAATTATGCCTTCCAAGACCCAAGTTATAATCGCTGGGGCTCCAGTTCGACGAGCTTCAATGCGGTCGGTCACAATGGCGTAGGCTCACAAGCCCCGTCAAGCTCGGCTGGAAGATTTTCGTCCTCTCAGCCTACTCCTACTATAAAACCATACGGCTTCAACCGACCAGGATCGCAAGTGCCACCGGTCGCAGCTGGCAAATTTGTCTCCACACAACCTAGCTCGGCTATGCCGGGATTTTCATCCGCAGCGGTTTATACATCACATGAATCGCAGGCTGGAGCTACTTCCAATAACACCAAACAATTTGTTCCTGTTCTGAAAGCATATGGCTTCAACAGGCCAGGTTCACAGGCTCCTCCAGCGCCAAAAAGTGGTACTTTGGGGGTTTTATCCGCCACTACCGCTGGTAGCAAAAATATCTCGGCACCTTTCATTCCACAGATCCCCCGCAAACCACTTGCGCCATTAACTGAAGCGGTTCAAAATTTACCTGAAACTCGATTGAGCCGCGGGGCCCAGGTTATTCTCGACTTGACTGGTGATAGCTCAAGTGATACGGCAGTAGGTAGCACCAAAGTCTCACTGGCTGGCTTTCAAGCTTCCTCCTCGAGCTTCATGGTCGGTCTCAAACATACCCTCCCACAAGATTCGAACTCGGCTGTCGTAAACAAAAAGCAGAAGAAGCCGCCTGTGAAGAAAGTTGCCGGGGGGTCAACGAGTCAAAAGAAGCCAACCAAGAAAGGGAAAGGGAAGTCAAAAGCATAAACCAAGATATCAGACATGATTTTACTTGTGATAAATTTGTAAACTACATTTGTAATTTCTTTACGGATCTTTCAACCTCTGAGAAACGATATCGTACAATTGTTTCATCCTATGCTTGTAACATCCCAACTGCTATTCTTGATCACACGCCACTCTTTCTGTCGGTATTAAAGGATCCGCTGTAAATAGTTAGTCTTGCTTGGCAAAGTATACATATGTTATTTCCAGAGTACAAAATGAGGACTATCGGCCTCTAGACCAGCACGTACGAATATATCTGACAACAAAAGCAATCTTGTCAAGACTCGGACAAACGAAAGTTTTCCTAATCATCTTGTCGCCCTCGAAGATTTACTCGAACACCAGCTTCGACTTTCGCACATTTTCAGCCACCAGTCATTATTGATGGGGAATGGACCAGTTGGTAAGAACTTTATCAAAAGGTTCAAGAATCAGATTCAAAGGTCATGCGCCGACATTTATGGCATACAAAGCTCTTTTCTGTCAATTTTCAGGGAAATTGTCAGATGTTCGTGATCAAGCACAAGCAGCCTGTCTTTAAAAGTCCATTTTTCCTCAGATCTTCATCATTCAGATAAAGGCGACCTCATCATCATGAGCAAATGCAATTCTTCTTGAGATCAGCAAGTCAACAACCTCCGTTGAACCTATCTTCTCATTTCACTATAAGTCAAAAGCATGAAGCTGTATACCAACAGCCGCCAAATGTTCGAATCTCTTGCGCTGATCACCAATGTATTATCCCTGTTAAGTGATATAAACCGTGGAAGTTTTCTTTCCTGAGTAATATAACCCTCACAAACGCACCAAACAGCATTGCCATTCACCTACTTTATCATTTCATCTATCTTCGAAGCTCTCGCTCAACATGACTATGCAACCAAAAGATATCAACACTCGTGGAGCTCACTGTGATACCAAGAATGCAGTCCAGCTGTCCGCAGACGAGCCAGTTACCCTTAGCTCAACTGACTACAAGCCTCCAGGATCCACGAGGGTAAACACCCGCAATTTACAAACGCCTGAGGCGTGTGAAACCATTTCAAAGTACTCTTTACCTCCTTTCCCTTTCGCAAGGCAACCTCAGCTACCGCCAGCCCGTTCAAAGCCGGTACCCAAGTCTAAGATTCCAATCATGACACAAGCTGGGATTTTTTGTCCTAAGCCTCGTGACGGCTCAGTTCGCAGGCGACTCCGTTTACTGAACCAGCGATCTTATCATACAGACCATGATCCTTTACTTACGCAGACTGATGCGACCAGTAGATCAAAGTAGCTTCCTTAAATTCAACAATCAAAATATTTGAGCCCTGCGGTTTTGTGCATAATTTTGACTAAAAACTACTATACCCTTGTTTGTAAGACCCACGTGATGACTGCGCTCAAGAAATGACATTTCATAATTAGTGGAACTAGATGAAACACACGTGTGAGGAACTTGATGTCTATTTTACCTCCAGGTTGAGGGATAGTGAAGTTGTATGAGTCCACTAAATCAATGTCATATTCCAAGCGTTTGTCAGTACCAACAGTGCTGATTGATTCGGATACATTCAGCTATTGGTGCGAGCCGATTTTGCCGACCTAGCATGACGCTGAGACATGGGCAATATTGCATCCGCAATCTTCCCTTTGTGCGTCTGCGTCTTCGTTTCCAGCAATCATTTGTTCTCCCAGCCACCCAAAACTTACCGGAATGGCTTTAGACCAGGTCAATGAGAACCAACGTTTGGTTTTTGCACAGAGCATACCGATCACAATCATCCGCTTTTTCAGAAACACCTTTCTCCTTGCGTGATCAATGAGTTACTTGACTGTAAATGATGAATTGGTGATATGAGGATCAAAATGTTCATTTTAATTACATTTCTGTCCAAAAGTCAAGTGTTCGTGATGGTATTGGAGAAGATGCGAGAGAATGGGAATGGTCTAAAGTATCTTGTTTGATAGCTCGTCAATGATCATATCAGTACCTGCTGGACGTCGGCAAAATGTTCAGAGTGGGAACACGAGAACACGACAAGCTTCATCCTGCTTCATTCGTCAAGAATTTGAAGATCTCGAAGTTGAAGAAGAAACTCAGCAATCAAAATGATATTCCAATTGAATCTATTCACTGAGTCAAGTGGCTCAAGCACCCCGAAGGATACGCAAAAGACCCATGGCACTATAGTTCTCAATTTGTTTGATAAGCATTCAGCTCACAATGTTGAAAAAGGAGGTTTGTATGCTGACTGTGATAGAGTTAAAAGTAAACAGTATGTTTAGGGTCCAACAGTGTGTTTAACTTTCAATTGTTTAGACTTGTATCATACCCATACTACTTGCAATGACTATGCTTATTGCACAAAATGTGGTGACCCACATAACTACAAAGACTGTCCCAATAATGACTCCACACGAGTTTGTACTAGATGCTTCCACTTTGACTGTCAAAGACAAACAGAAAAGATTCACCATTTTTCTCCCAAATATACTCACTCTCCAAAAGGTTTAGGTTGTGCCCTCCAAGGTATGATGTTTACAATCACTCCCTCAAACACTATCAGAAATGACTCATTGTAATGTCAGAAATTCCACATCCAACAGCTCAATGATCCCACAAATTCTAAACTTCAATTTTGAACATCTTGTTGGTGATTGAGGCACCCAACAAGCGCTACGTGGGACTTGGTTTTCCGAGGTCTTTCAGCATGCCAATGACAAGAGTGTTATCATGTATCACCTGCGACTTTATTATATACTCCCTGTCTGCAACGGAGAAATTGGAAACAAGAAACAAGTTATATACAAGATCTGCGAGATTCGACTCAAACCCTCGACCATAAAACCTCAAAGCTCTACGAAAGCTTTGGTTTTAAACTTCTTGCCTACTCTATCAGCAGCCCTGAAAGCAAACTGGTTTCCAAAGATTTCTAACACCAATTTTTGTATCTGACTTGCGGTTCCTTTAATCTCTAGTTCAATTTGGAACACGGTATGTCGCTTGGGAACGCCTAAACGCAAACCAAACCACGTAAGAATAAAAATAGATCAGATGAAGGCAGTTTTCAAGAATAAGCTTAAAAATGAACATGCATTTGACTACATGGGACGAATCTATCAATTTGAATGTCTCTTGAGTCTCTTGTACTACTATCCCTTGCAGGCCCACCAAGGAGGGATTTTTTGCCCTCGAAACTAGAAAAAAAACACGTATAAGGTCGGTTTCCCTTTGCAAGTCTCTCCTGTGAGCCTAGAGAAACAGACCAGTAAGGATGGCACCGTGATAATCCGATTTCAATAGCTTAGATTGAATGGATACCATTGGGGGCAGTGTTTTGATTTCGGATACAGATCGTTCTTTGAAGCTAGCATCGGAAGGGGTCAAACCAGAAAGAACGAAGTCGATGCCTAAAAGTTCTGACATATATCCCAACCAGAGATTATGAAGGGGAACAAAGGCTTCATATCTGTAAAGACAGAACTCGAGCCGCGTGTATCAGCGATAGAATCTTGAATGGTATGTTAGTATCACAGATCTAACCTCCATCCTTTTTGTTCGAGCTTAATCAATCGCTCGAGATGTAGATATCTTTGCCGTCTTGAATCAGACTTGGGATTTTCGGGCACGCTTTCTTTCGTTTCGGGTCTACCCTGAATCAACACAAGATCAAAATTAACGATGGTTTTTTAGAAATTCTGGTCATTGAGACGCTTGTGTATGAAGACGGATCAAAAGATACTGACTTTGGAGGTGAGCGATGCAGTGCGATATGACGCCGGAACACTTTCGTCTCTAGATTTTTATCAAGCTGATTGATCGCCCTTTCTGGTAGAATTGAACAAATGATTTCTTTTGTGCTTTTGCCGATGACCAAACCCTGTTCCTCATCTCTCTTACGCTGTCAAAATAAGATAAAGATTGATATCATGAGCACATTTTGAGTGATAGCAAATTACGATGTCATTGATCGACTGGCACCTTTTTCTTCAGGAGTTTGGCTTCGCTATAGATGTTTTGCGTCGAAAGCTGGTCTGTCATTCCACCTGTCATTGTCATTCGAGTGAGTAGTCGGCTGGAGTGGGTTCATTTGCCAACAAGTTGTAGAAATATTGAAAGGTCCAACTTTCAAGGAGGTAGCTGGGTCTTATGTGTTTAAATCTTAAGGGTTTTGTCAAGAAGACATAATACAGATATCATACACACCATGACACCGCGGGAATCATCAAGTGTGAAACCCGGTTGAGCAAAGTCGCGGTGTCCGGGTCCGCGACTTTCTTCAATTGCGGATCTCGTTCGCCATAGGTTTGCTATAGGTTTGCTAGCTTGCATCGAGCTGCCCTCGAGTTGTCCGCCTGAGCTGCAGTACATGTTATGCATGTTTTTCCTTTCAATATCCTCAGACCACTCAAGATCATGTATGAGTCATGAGCTTTATCATGTATATGTTCCAAGAGTCTAGACATATGGTACCTCCATTAGTCCATACTACAGCCTGAGTGGATGACTATGTAGAGGGCAGCTCAAGACAAGCTTGCAAACCTATGGCAAACCCATGGCAAACAAGATCTGTGATTGAAGGAAGTCGCGGACCCGGACACTGCAACTTTGCTCAATCTGGTTTCACACTTAATGATTCCTGTGGTGTGACCAGCACCCCGATTAGACCAAACAGTGGAATAGCTCGGAGTGTATTCCAAGCTATTTGCTCCAAACATAGAACCTTACAAAAGGACCCTGGAATACACCCACGGAGGGTACTGACGGAGCATGATTTTCAGTTTTTTGCCTCTACACTACGCATCAGTACCTCTATGAAGCTGCAGAGCACTTCACAAGATGTGTATGGAGTAGGGCTATCAGATGAGACCAGACAGAGCCCGGTATCATGTCTCACGGTGGCGTAAATTGCAATGGCACAATTTTTTTTTTGACCTCCAAGGCCAAAAACCAACCCTCAATTTTTGGCCCTTTTTTGGGTGTTACATTGATATATCTTAGGTAATCTTGGTGCTACCAGGCTGTGAGCTAGTGCATTTGAAAGCCTTTCTTCTTGTGCATCTTTTGCGCTCCTTTAGGTCTTGATAACATGTAGTTTAGCATCGAAAAACTACGTCAACAAAAGGTTGGTTTTTTTGTAAGTACCCTTTGTGGGTGTATTCCAGGGTCCTCTTACATACCACAAAGCCTTTTTCTGATAGATGACACACAGCTGTTTCAACAAAGATTGATTTTCTTTGAGAATCTTACCAATGTGCAAAACCTGGGTTTTGTCTCTCACTTCATTTTGTCTCTCCGCTAATTGGAAGAATACAGAAAAGAATAAGCCTGTAAATCGAGTTTTGTCTCTGGTTTTACCCGCTGCGGAGACAATTTTCTCCAAAGAGAGTTGTCAACCTTTCTTGAAACAGCTGTACCTTCTTCTGGCTTGTTAAGATCCTACTCAGTAACACAGGAGAGATATTATATATCAATTGTAGTGATAAATGTGTACCAACTCTGGCTCGCAGCGCTGCTGGCCGTAGATCCAGCAGCGCAACAAAATCTCAGTACGCTTGACCTTGGTAGCTCTAAGGTCAGCTTTAAGGATCACCCTAGGCACCCAAAAAGCCAAAAACACAGCTTTGGTTGTGCTGCGCTTCACAGCGCTGCAGGCAAAAAAAAACGCTTTTTTTCAAAAAAAAAATAAAAAAAAATTGTTGTGAAAAGAGACATGAAGGCCAGTAGAGAAAGAGAAAACAAAGTATTGATTCTAAATGAGCGTAAAGACAAGGACAAAAGAGAAACAAAACCAAACCCAAGAACTTGAAAAAAATGAAACAAAATAAATTTTATTGTAAGTAGAGACATTAACTAAGGTGGAGAAAGAGAAAACAACTTAAAGGGTTGTAAAAGAATGTAAAGAAAAGAAAAAAACAAAAACAGAAAAGAAAAGAACACAATGAGATCTAAAATTGATTATTTCTAGGTTTCTTTTTAAGGGCCTTCTTTCCATACTCAAGAACTTTTCAACTTCACCAAAATCCCCAGTGAAAGGTATGCCTTCATTGGCCCAAATTTGACCACTAACTGTCATCTCAATCATTCCAGGGGCCATCGAACCCCGGTCAGCTCCGCACACTCGTCCGGCAATGGAGAAGGATCATTCGGGTGCAGCAGACGCTGCTGGTGTGGCCAGGTAATCCTGAGCCAGTCTTGATAAGACTGGGTATTTCCCAGCGTGATTCTGCAGATGATAGCATAGTGTCAGTAAAGAAATCAAACAAAAAAGAGAGAAGTGATAAGCAATCTTACTTTCCACCAATCCAACGTGCATTGTGGATTGTTCATGTCCAGAGATACCATTGGGTCAATTCCTTGAAGATATTGCTCGAGTTCGTTAAGCTTGCATGAAGTTACTACTTTGTTGTAAAAATTGAGAAAGTTTGATCCAGTACCTTCATCACCTTCATTGGATGAAGTATTGATTGGAAAAGGGGCGCTATACTTGTGAAATTGATGATCAGATGAATCTTGTTGTAAAATGAAAGCCGATTCCAATAGCTCTTCAGCTCGGTGGTGGTGGTTAGAACCGTTTCCAAATGCGTGTTCAAAGAACTTGACTCGTAAGCCAGGGTGAAATACGGCTGCTAAAACTAGTGTATCACACTCTAATGCTTCATCTAAATAAAGTGTTATCTTACTTAACATCACATCCACCATTGGGTAGAGTGGATCATTATCGTGCATTTTCTTTACTCCGGTTGCCATTGAATCCTTGAGCTGCATGTATTTGACAAGGACCATGCAGCCGGTGGGTTTATCACGCTCCATCTCTTGAGTCAAAATTTTATAAGGCTTTTATCAAGGAAAAATCGAAAAAAAAATTAAATCAAAGAAAATGAAAGAAAGTTGAGAGCCATATGAATGGAATCTTACAGTGAGAATGTCTAAGATATCCCTCATGGCTCGCCAGTCTGCTACTGAAAATATTACCTCCTCGAAATATCCATCTTTCTTTCCATCTTTTCTTGGACGACACCTCTTTGAATGTACTTCAGTCAGATCTTCTTTCATCACATTATCTATCAGCTAAACAAATTTAAAACAATCACTTAGCTTTGTAACCTACAGTTATAGAGGGTAGGAAGGATAGTAGAACAAACCTCTCGAGCGTGCCACATCCGCTCCCAACATTCGGCGCAAATACCCCCGAATACCCCAGCGGATTCCATGGCCGGACAAAAGAGCTTTGAGTGGGCGTAATTCATCCAATCTACGTCAAGTATTAGCTTGATCACGTTGCCGATTGAAATCAGCACGGTGAGCGCTTGAGCGTGTGAGCTTTTTATTAACCGTGTCCATCTGAAAAAAGTATAAATAGAAGATAGATAAAAAGAAGATAAGAATGATTAAACATATAATAAATGAAATGATAGCTTACATCCTTAGTTAACTGCTTCATGTAAGTATCACCTAGAAGGTATGCTTTCTGGCGGTTGCGATAATTTTCGGGCTCATCTTCTTGCTCAGTGTCCTCTTTGTCTTGAGCGTCAGCATTAGAATTGGAGTCATTTGTATTACTACTGTGATTGCTTTCTAAGTCTTCATCATCCTCGCTATCCTGACCACCTCCAGCACAATCTACTTCCTTGCTTTCTTCGACAATAACATCCATGACTTGAACAGAAGGAAACCTACCTAGGCCGCTATGTCGAATTCGCAACGGTTTCATTCCCAGAGCATCAAGACCAGCCTTGACAATCAGGCCCATCTTATGGCAGAAACACCAGATGGACATTGACTTGGGTTTCCAAGTCATTTGATGGCCTGATCACAGGCCTTCCTTGTGTAGCTGACAATACATTTCTCTGCATAGAGTGAAGTGATTACTTCCCAAATCTGACACATTTGCGAGCAAGTGTAAATCAATGTTATGTCAGTACAATTAAGAACAGTAAACTTAGAAAAGAAAAACTTAGAGAGAATAAAAGAAAGAATTATTAAGAAAAGAAAACAGAAAGAGACACTTATCTTTTGATACAGTTTATTCTTCTTCAAGATCGCCACCATTGGCTCAGCAAGTAAAATACCCTTGTGATGCCATGCGACGAGCTTAAAGTTCAAGTGTCGTACTACATACTTCCACTAATTTGTAACGAATGATACCGAAGCGCCTATGAAGGCGTGAAGATTCCCTTTAACGGTCCATACATCTTGTATGAGACAAAACCTGCTAGTTAGGTTCTGAAATAGTCAAATATGAAAGTGTCAGCTTCAATCCATTAAACCCATGATATCATTCTTGATGAGATAGATTGGATTCTACTTACCTTGAGCTCATTATCAATCACCAACGTACAGAGGGATAGATACATCCGTTTTGCCTCATCAGCCACCCACTTTCGACCAAACATCCGTGCATCAGGTCGCAGCCAGTAGATAAC